CAACACCTCAGCCAAAGGAAGTGGCCTAATCTAATTATTATTGTTTATTTATTATTAACTGTTTTTATTATTATTATCATTATTATTCTTATCAACAATGAGCTAGGGGATAAATAAAGTATCTATCTATCTATCTATCTAAAATTACTGTCTGTCCCACACACCTGCTTAAAGAGCTGAGGTGATTGAGCTTTAGGTCTGCTGATTCTGTAAATTCTTTTAAAAGACAGCTAAAGGCACATCTGTTTAGAGAGGTGTTTGGGTAATTTGTTTGAATTGGGTGTATATTTTATGTATTTGTGTATTTTCTTTGCAGTGTTTTTTTGCATTTGAATACTTGTGACCTTAACTTTTACCTTTTTTATGGGGGGCATCCCCCTATTATTTCAGGTTGTCCTTCTAACTAAAAGCTGTCTAAAGAGTGCTGATATCAGTGCTCTGACTGTTCAGCCACCACAGTTCAGATTAGAGAAGATTTGATCAAAATGTTGTTATCCACTCAGGATACACTCTAAGTCTAATTGAAGCAATAATCTTAAGGGTCAGCAACAAGTGCTGAAGTCTAGGGTTAGTGCATTAACAATACAGTAAATATTTACAAAGTAGTAGTGCAATGCAATAGTGCATACTGGATACTTTCACTTCTTCAGGCCCCTATCTCTAGGAGGAAGAATCATTCTCTTAACAAAATGCTCCCAACTCATCTCTACAATAAGGAAATAACCTGCAATTAGGGGTACACTCCTTACTTTATTTAAAGGGTCACAAACCAGGTTGGGAACCATAGCAGTAGACCACCTAGTCAGGCTATAGTTAACATATTTAATCTAAAACAAGTGGGATAAATGACTGGGTGTGGCTGACAAGCTCCTACTTTCTTGTATCCAAATGTAAAGTCCAGTTAAATCAACTTGAGAGTTTTTAGAAGCTGGTATGAATCAGAGAAGAGTATAGAATTACAGATGATTCAGCTAAAAACAAGACATGAACAAGCACATCAGCATAGTTTGGTAGTCTGTGATAAGAAACCTAGAAGTTCTCTGATATAGAGAGGACACATACTAATCCAGGATGTCATGAAAGCATGTCCTATAACACACATGCAAACATACACATAGTCGCACAACAACCTGTAGACACAAACATGCACTGTGCCACATCACAAGTAAATCTAGTTTTGTGGCAATTACAGGCCTTGTCCAGGCTAACCTAGTGGTTGAGTCATATGATAACTATATAGCACCAAACCGCAAGCTCCAGGGCCGACTCCCACCACCATATAATATCCTATAATCTCACCGTTTGAACTAGAGCAGGATCTGCTACCATCTTACCCTGAAAATATATGAGCTCTATAATCAAGGAACTGTGTGTGACTCTCACATAGTGGAGGAGATGGAGAGCAGTCTGTGTCTGTACAGAGCATAAGTAGCATTTAAAGTTCAAAAATAGATGCAGTGTTTACAGTGTTTCACCTTAAACATCCAGTCAGAACCACTTCTATGGAAAAGGATTGGCCTGCTTGTTACTAATTTCAACCAAGAATTTTAACCTCTGGGTGGGGCCCCTGAAAGGATGATTTCAATGGTTGTATGGAACAAATTTTGTAGTGTTTAATGTATGGTAGATGTCTTCTCAGTTTCTGGCAACTAAGAACTGAGACTGAGACTCTGGGTCCAAATTACATACAGTCTAATTCTGTCTAGTAGAGTGCTGTTGTACTGCCCCAGGTCTTGGGTCAGTGTGTCAATATGCCTAAAACTGTGTCTACAAAGGAAGCCTGCATTTTGAAAGCATTCAGAGCACAATGCCCTGTAGTCATGTGTGTAAAAGGTAGGAAAATAGACCTTAAGTGTAAAAATACGTTTCAGGTCACATTTACAGGTGTATATTGCGAGTAAAACGTGAGCTGTTATGAGGACAGCTAGATTGCTCCATCACACTCACTTTATCAAATTTTGATCAAGTGGTGCGTCATCATCATCAAATGAGAAAAATATTTCTTTGAGGCAAATGAAGACTGTAGACTGTGCAGGAAAGAAATATGAGCCATGTCGAACACCTGTGTCTAGCTTGAAGACACAGAGCTGACACAGCTGAGTGAGATTGTGGCTCGGCGAGCACTCAAACAACTGCTATTTTTTAAAAGAACGGTAACTCCTATCAGAACCATTAGCGACCCATGAGCAAACCATGAACAGCACAAGACCTTTTTGCACAGATTATGTGGCTTTGCTGTTTCTAGAGCCGGAAATGTGGACACGGGGGAGTTACAAAAGAGGGTCACTTCTGCTCCTGAATTTGCATTACAGTCAATGGGAGAGGTGGAGGGTACTCCCATCACTTCCTCAAAAACTGTAAAAGATATCATAATGAGACCAAAACTGGGTGATACAGGACAAAAAATCTCTACATTTTTGATAGAAAAATTGTCAATGAACGTTGGAAATTGTGGGATTTAAAAGAGTTTGCCTGACTTTTTTGATGAAAATTTTCAGGGATGGCAGGTAGAGTGCACAGTTAGCTCCGGATAGCGAGTGGAGCTGTGCCTAAAGACAGCAGACATCGCTGAAGATTTAATAAACACCACAATCCTCTACACTGAAGTTAAATAAAAAACACACAGAGCAAGAGAGGGGGAGAGAGAGAAGCTAGGGCTAACTGCTAAGCTAAAGTAACTAGCAGATCTGAACAGCATGTGAACAACTGCTGAGTTAGTAAAAGTTGCTAAACGGAGCAGAGAGCTCTGAGTGCTGGGGGGCAAATCCACAGTATACCAACTAGAATAAAGTAGACTACACCACTGTACACGACCACATGCACGTACAAGCACACACACATACACGGCTGATTTGCCTTATACATACTCTCATACTTGAGAGTAAAAGGGGTAGGAGTTAATGAGTCCAATTAGCCAATAAGAATCAGCTTTGTCCATTTCTGCCCAGATACTGCGTCAGAGTTGTATTTAAAGTCCGCCGTACACAGAGTGAACGGGAACAGAGCCAGAACAGTCCCCTGTGGAGCCTGACATACTGTGGTCATCTTGTCAGGTAATCCACAATCCACAAAGTTTAGTTTAGTTTGCACTGTTAACATCTGGGGCTCTATTTTAACAGTGTAAAGCACATGGTCTAAAGCACATGGTGCAAGTGTGTTAATTAGGAATGCTTCGATCATGTTTTTTTTGCCCCCATTACCAATACCAATCATCTATGAGAGAGATCGACTGATCCATGGCTGATATGATCATTTTTGGCAGACATTGCAGGGCTCCAAACTGCCATGAATATGGGACTATTCTTTGTGAGTGTGCGAGTTAAAACTACACATGGTCGTTGCATGATCATTATTCATTAGGCTGTTTTGGTGCCCTACATGTACTGCATTGTAGTTGAAAGTAGTTTTTTTCCTTCACTGGCTCAGTCTGACTACCCACACAGAGGTTAGTATGCCTTTACAAAAATCATGAATGTTATTGTACCTCATTACCGCAATCTAGTGATATAATTTGACATTTTTGTTAACACATAATTAAAGAAGAGGAAGCCTCAGAGCCTCCTTCATGAAGAAATAGGCTATATTTAAAAAAAGGGGTGAACAAATCATGACTGCAACCAGTAAAGAAATCTGTCTAGAGCCCTGAGATGGCAGATGGCGTAGGCTACGTTATATAAGTCTCACACACTTTGTAAAAGTTCCACACAGGCGACATGTTGTTTTGTTTTTGTGGCCTATCGCACACCAGCGCAACAACAAGGTGAGAGGCAGGACTATGTAACCCAAACCCAAATGACTAAAAGAAATGCAAATGATAACATGGCTTTATGGTTTAATCAAGTTACAAATTTTGTGACCATTAAAGAAAATGAGCTGCATAGCCTATTCAGCACAGCGTGACATTTAATTTCGGCCTCAAAGTATGTCACCCATGACAATATGAGAAATTCACTTTTGCTTTTGAGTCCATTCAGCAGTTGCTGTCACATTAAACTTAACTATTAAACTTAACTATTAAAGAGGCCTTCAAAGATTTAGCATTGCACTCCTATAATATCAGACTCATGATGGTTTTAGTAGATAGTTTTAAAAAAAAATCCAAATTCAAAAACATGGAAAACGCGGTACCAAAAAGTCACCGGCAAGTCAATAGGCAGACGTGTGGCTGCATTTCAGATTTATAAACTATGTAGACAGTGAAGAGCTGGACAAAATAAAAGCTATAAGATGTGCAAGAAGAAGCCGTGTGTACCTGTTCATACACAGTGTAGCCGGTGCACTGGGGTACATTAACAACGCACAATATGTCTATTAATTCTTGAGATGCATGTTTAAACTGTTGGTCATGTTAAATAGAAAGTGCATTAATGTAAACGCTTCTGGGTCCATTCATAATGTTAACATTAATGTTTTTAATAATGCAACAGGTAAGAGGAGGAATTGACAGAATTAGTTCTCTGAGAATCTAATTCATATCCAAGCAAAATTGATATCATAACTGAAATATCTCTGACTGAATCTATATCGATATGGAATTGAATCTAATCTAATCGGGAATTGGGAATTGGGAATTGGGAATTGGGAATCAGGGTTCAAATCAAATCGGGACCTTATCAATCGGAATTGAATCAATTCAGGAAATCATTGGCAATACCCAGCCCTTATATGAAGTAGTTTTCCCCAATACCTGGAACTGATGTGAAAAATTGGTCGTTCAAAGTTCCCCTTTAATGTTAAAACCAAATCCTAATCCTAAAATGACACCTCACAGATACAAAACATGTGTCAAACTCTTTTCATTCTTTTATTCATCCTTCAGTCTGTGGTTGTCATGAAGATGCTCTGTCTGAAATATCCTCTCTGCCTTGTACCCTATGTGTTATCCTGTTAATTTATGGTTGTTGTAGTGTGTAATGTTTCTCCAATGACTGCCATATCAAATTGTTATTTATCACTTGACTGGTTCTGATTCACATACTGTAAAGAGCATAAACACTCACAGGATTGTTGCTTCTTGGCACGGCTCGAGGTTTTGTGGGACTGACACCAAACAGTGACACCATCTTCCAGCAGCTTCAAAGTTCGTTGCTTCTGCCAGCGAGGTGAGCGGACCTTCACACATGAGATATTCATTAAATCTTATCTGTTACTGTTACTAGCTACTAATAACAACTAAAAATGACTAATAGTTCATAGTTAGTGATACCTTCACCATACTGGACCCCTGTAACATCTGCTTCACATCGTCATCATCCTGAACTCCTTGAAAGAAAACAGATGAATTTGAAGAAAGACAGATATGAACTAGTGTACATGATGGCAGTAAGTACACACAAACTCCTGATCTGATCTCAAGTCAGTAGCACTGAAAGAATGAGGGGTTCTAAGTGACAAGGTATGGATGGAGACCTAGAGAAAGACTTGATATTGTGGAAGGGAAAAAAATAGAGATGAGGAGTGAGAGACTGACAAAGACCGTATGGTTAGGAGGTGGGACAGGGATGACTGTTGATTCCACAGGAGAGGAACTAGAATATCTGCATTTTCTGAAGAAAATGAGTGTGATTGTTGTGACTGATTTGTCAAAAAGGACATTATTGTGGTCAATGAAAGGAACATGAACATATAAAAAAACTATAGGTATAAAGTATTAGAAAAAAGTCAATAACTGGCCACATGGTGATGCTATTGCAACGATTGTTGATCATGTCAAGAATTGTCTGACAACTTTCATTTCTGTAGCCTTTACAATTTTTCAGATAACCCTAACCCTAACCCTCTTCACACCTTATTAAACAAATTATAACTAATTTATTATAAGGGATATCAACAGACTGTTTAAAAGCTCGTATGGCATTGTCATGCTTGGCATTATTAAAGTGAAACCATGTTTCCAGCCATCAGGATCTGAGAGTAGTAGTTTGTATTAAGCAATATTTATTTTACCACCATAGCACCCTTAGCAGTCTTATTCATGGTCCTAATCTGTACCACAAAGGTTTGTTAGCCAATCATGGAAAAACAGTGTCTCAAATCCAGCAAAAAATTCTAAATTGAGGGAAAATGATGCAACAATGGAAAGCGGTAGTTTTACACTGCCTTCGAGTGGCCAAAAAGTAAATAAAATAAATGCTTTAAAGTTTTACATTTATTATAAATGCTGAAGTCAGTTTTGCTTCTGTGTAGCAGCAATTGATAAACACAGATCCAGACACTTTGTTATCTTATAGCCAAAAATATAACCATGCATGCATATTGGGGAAAAGAGTAAGTTATGAATTGTATTTCTAGCAAAATGATTATTTCCTCTGTGCAGGGGAATCTTTTCCATTTAAGCTCTCCTACACTGATACTGCTGAGACCTAAGCTGAGTAAGCAAGAGTCAGCAGCTGAAACAGAAGTCTCACTGTGGTTTGGGAAGGGCTTGGTCACTACACTCACAACTTACAAAGGCGTCTTAATACTGGAAAGACACACACAAGCATACAGGCACACAGACACACATCACGATGGCAAACACTCAAGTCACACACACACACACACACACACACACACACACACACACACACACACACACACACACACCTGTGAGCTACTGTAAATGAGGACAGCAACCTTTTGTAGCAGTGGGAGGAATTCATTTGGTGTGTGGTTTTATTTGTGTGAGGGGGAAGAGAACCAGACTCAGACAGTGTGGCTTAGAAACAGATTGACCTCTTTAAAGTGACTGACCTGAAAACAACAGGTAACACAACCATGCAACAGTCTTCCTCAACTGTTGTGATGAAACCATGTGGTTTGATTAATGAACAGCATGTGCATGTGACTAGCAACAACTGCTATACTGCATGTCTATATTGTGCTGATATTTGAGTCACTCAGTTGAGATAAAGGCCAAACATACACAAAACACACACATAAAAGCAGTTATGCTGCACAAATACACACAATAGCCAAGTGCATATCATTTCTGATGTGTATCCAACTGGACCTTAAGTTAGGTAGTTACACCACATGAATTTAGTTTTACATAGGGAATTTAATTATTACTAAATATTTACATATTTTAGCTGATTAAACAAACTAACAAAACTAATATTAGCTCAAGGGTATAGATTTGATTGTTAAATATTTATATCTATATAGAAAATACGTTGGTGTTAAGCTTACTTAAGCACAATAACGACGTACACAATATATACTTAGTAAACTCCTGCCAACAGAGTGTTCCAACAGAGTGGAACAATCTTTCATCATGTTTTCTGCCCAGGTCATTTCAGCTTGAGTGCGATGGAAGTGTACTTGTCCAAGACCCAAATCAGGTCCTGCTAATATGCCAAACAGTGATGCAATCAGTGATGAGCATATTAAAACAACAGGTGCATGTTGTTTAATATGCTCATCACTGATTGCGATTGAGTCTTTGTGCCTCAAACACACAGTGACACAGATGCTTAAGGATCAAAAATCCCTTCTTACCTCTCCAAACCTTTGAAAAAGATTGTTGTGGCAGACCTCAAGGGATTAACATTAACATCATTCTCTTTCTCTACACAGGTAAATATTGGCTTTATTTAGCAGAAAACCTGATAATAACTATAGAATTAAGATATTACATTTTTCACAGTGGGGAAGTCCTCTTTTCTGTCACTTTTATTACAGGGGTCAGCAGTAAGGATCATTTGGACCCTGTGAGCATTCAGTGTCTGGCTCAAGGACTGTCATAGTAAGAATAATAAATGTGGTAAAGATTGTGGAATGATCATGACCTTTGATTTTACTGAAATAACAGCACTATGATGCCACATATACACGCACGCACACACGCACACACACACACATTTAAAAACTTTATCCCCTCATATATGGTTTCAATTAATATTTAAACCTATTTTAGATCACCACTATTTAAGTACACATAAACATACACTGCTCTGAGAGACAATTAGTGCTCTGTCAAAGCCTTAATTAAACTGGCTAACTCTTAAATTACCTCCTCAGTAAATCCATTGGCCAGGAGCATCATATCCATGGGTTTTGTGAGTGTTGTGACACCCACACTTTCACAGAAACATGATTCCATCCCCCTCACTTATTAACAAGGTAGTAGTCTCGCATTGCCAGACATATCTCTCCTACCTGAGGTAGTGATGAAACAGAATTGAGTTCCCTATACATGAAAACCTATTGGTCAAGTTAGACTGAATGGACATCCAGCCAATCACAGCCATTTGACCAAACCATTAGGTCAAAGGAAGAGTAAACAGTTGAAGTACTGTAAAGTAGTGTGCCTGTGTGGGGAAACGGGGCTTCTGTTGTCACTCACTGCTGTCAGAGTGTAGAGGTATGAAACAGCTTGTCAACTATTAAGTAATGTAAAATTTTCTTTAGTAACTTTGTCTTGTTGTGTGATGTGACAGCTAACATTAGTTAGTAGTTTAACTACTGTTAAATCATTCCAGATGCAAGCCAAGTAGCAAACAAACTTAATGCAAGCTAATAGCTGACATTATTTTAGACCAGGTCTGTCTGAATGCCAAGTCTGAATGCCTACTAACACTGTCAGCCACTGTTAGTAACAAACTAACAAACAACATAATCAAACTAGAAAATTCCAGGGAAATCATGTACTCATCCCGGCTACTGCCGGGATGAGTACATGATTTATTTCCAGTGTTCAAAAGTCACCCTGATCATATTCTGGTTTTGAGAAATGTCTTGATATAAAAGACTCTGATATAAAACAATGTCACATCCCTCCATCATGTATTATGTGGGAAATATCTCATATTCTGTGTTGTTTTTTTTAATAAAACAAGAGGCAACATGTCTTCAAACTGGCATTTAAAGGGTTAAAATCCTGAAAACTAATAAACATTTGGTAGGTTTGAGCAGAACTGAAGTGGTTTAAGAGATGTATGCAAAAAAAAGCAGAAAAAAATATTTTGATATATGATGATTTTATAGCATTTTCTTTGTGTGTGCTTTTTTGGACGCGAGGAACCCCAGAGGGTACAAAATGTGTTACCAGTGTATAATAGACCTGTAACAGTAACTGACATTAGATTTTAAAAATATGTCAAAAAAGACACTTTCTTGCAGAAATCCATACCTTCAGCTGTAACACAGCCAAAATGATCAGCAAATCAAAAAAGAAAAGTGAAGAAAATGTCCAAAAAAGGACAGAGGGACCCCTGAGGGTTAATAAATCCCATGAACCGCTATTTAAATTACCACTATTATGTTTTTTTCGGTGCTAAATTTAACATTACTGGGGAGGAGAGCAACGCGACTAGAAGTGACAGCGAGAGAGGGCTAGTAGCTTCTCCTCTCCTCTGTCTCAGCGGAGACTGTCACAACTTCATTCACTCATTTAACAAAACAAAAAGAAAAGCAACAAAGGAAGCAGTAAATGGACTTACATATTTAAGACCTAACTAAATGTAATTTAAGACCTAACATGCGGCTAATGTAAAGCTAGCGGAGCTTGGAGAGTTGGTTATCTGGTTGCTAGGCACGCACACACGCACACAGGTCAGGAGCTGCCGTTGCCATGGCAATGTGAAAATCTGCCCAGAATTTGGCTTCTACATGGCTTAAAACAATTGCAAATTATGAGAAAACCGTTACTTCTTTTCAAAAACCGAAAACACCGTGACAGACACTGAAGCCAGAAGTTTCTTACAGTCTCTATTTTATTCAGATATTCCTTAAAATGAGTGAGTAAGCTCAGTGCGAAGACAGAGTGAGATTCTTTTGAAAAAAAAAAGACGATTACATTAGGTGTCAATGAGAGTGAGACAGGTATTGCTGTCGGACTCGGCACCCCCGTTTAAATTTTGTGCAGACCCTGCCTGTCAAAGTTACATTTTATGAATCCCAACAACTATGTCTACATTTTCAGAAAGAATTATTTGTCTCCTTTTTACGGTTTGGCTGTGAGCTCGAGTTAAAAATAAAAATAAAGGTTATTTTTTACTGCTTCACGCACTCTAGCCAACTGACGCTGTCACTCTAACTTTGAAGAAAAAGTGATTTCCACTCCTGCTTTGAGTGGTCATAGTTTGAAAAGTTTACATGTTATGTAAAAACAGTTGCCGTGTTTTGGAGAGAGCAGAAGTTTTCCTCCGTTTTATAGTTTGAATCACATTTCTACGTGCAGGTATGAGAGAGCTGGGTGACTCAGAAAAAAGGTGAAATTTTGTAGAAAAAAGGTGAAATTTTGTGGGTTTTTAAAGAAAATTCCAATGCATTCCTAATGCATTATTTATTCCCGGTATTTTGGGAATAACTTTGGGAAAAATTGGAATTTTAACACCAAAAGTCATAGCACCTCTTTCGGGATCAAGACGCACGTTTTGATGTATATATTACCGGGGTTTTCTCAAAACAGCGGGACGAGTTACGCGCCAAAATTTGGCGGAAGAATAATAGGCACTCCTCTCAGCTATTCTAGCTGTAGAGGATCGCCTCGGAGCTGAGCACCCGTGGCACTAATAACTACGCTTACCATTCTGATACATGTTCTACTCACTGATTTTGGTGCACAACAAACTCCTCACTCCTCAACAAAATCTTGAGTCTGTGGCTGAGTCTCTGCGATGTTTCCTCTGCAAGCCATCTTGATACGCACTGCTCTTTCACCTGTCAACCTAGCCCAAGCAGCAGTGGTGGGTGGGACCTGATCCACAATTTCTCAATGAAGAAGTAAACATAACTGTGATGTGTGTGCTTTGATGAAACTGGTATACAACCCAACCCTATATACCAGTGATTCCTAACCTGTGGGCCACGGCCCTCTGGGCTGTGAAAGTATTGCAAGTGGACTGCCAAGTCATTTGCAAAACAATACAGTTCTGGTGAAAAAGTATGATTATAAAAAAAATTAAATATAAACTGTTTTTAAATGTTTTAAAACAGATCTTTAAAAACATTTTTAAAACTCCTTTCATTGTGTTTGTTTTGTTTTCGCTATTTATATGTATATATATATATATATATATATATATACTATATATGTAGACCTACATCGGTTTTAAGTTTGCTTATAGGCCTATTGATTTATTTCTCATTTGTTGAATGATACCATTATATAATTTGTAAAAATTTATTCGTTAATTAGCCTATTGCAGGCAGCCCATTTTATGTAGTGCTGATGGACAGCTTCTTGAAAACTCTGTAATACTGAAAATGTTGCAACATGTTTCAGGTGCTGTATTAGTGAATGTGGAGCTTCCGATATGTTTCCCCTGCTTTCCACAGCATGTTTGCACGTTATGTTAATAATAAAAAGAGCTCTAAGAACCCATTATTTGGCCTCATATTGTTATGGGGTCAGATGTGTGCCACCAACATTTTTGATATTTTCAAGTGGGCCATGATAGGGAAAAGGTTGGGAACCCCTGATATATACCAAGGGAAATTAACATAGACCAGTCTGTTGATGTGAACTACTTTGTATGCCCATCACCGCCCCCATCCCCAGGGTTGCTCTGTAGGCACATGGGCTACAGAGTTAGGTAACATTTCATATAATATAACAATATAAATGATATTAAAGGTTCACAGATTTGAAGGCTTGGATGAACATATGCCTACAGCTTAGCCATCTCAACAGAACTGAAAAGACATGGTTCATTTCTGTGCTTATTTAAACTAAAATATTAAAATCATCATGTGGATTATTACATTCAGCTCAGTTTTAGTTTATGTAATGTCAGCTTGTTACTAGTATCATTGCTATTCTTGTTAAAACTGTAGCTATAGCTTCAAGCTAAAATAAGATATGACATAACTATAAGAGGGCTTTTTCTGCCATATTTTCATGAAACTGAAATGGGACGTATGCCACCTTTGAGCCCAACATCGCACCAGTAGCTTTCTGACAGTTTGTAAAAGCTTAATAATAATGTAAAAGTTATTATTCTCTATACAATTCTGTAAAAATCTGTAAACAGGCAAACTTTTTCACCTCAAATCTACAACACAATAAAATGCAAACAGTGAAGGGGTCTCAATACTTTCTGAAGTTGCTGTCAAACTGAACTTATTGCATGCAGAGGAAATATACAAATCTGGTGGATCTGTGAAATACTGTACATAGTTGATTGAGAGAAAAGCAATGTTCCAGCTGCACAGTGTGCAACATACAGACCTGATTTTACTGGCCAAACCCCAAAAACAGTCATGAGGAGGAAAGCAGTGAAAACACAGGCTAGCACTATATGTGGAGAGTACATGTCCATTATTTAAGTGTCCCACTGTCTATTATTATTCTTACCGGTGAAACTGGAAACCTCTTTCCTTAAATAGCTTCTCTGGTTATGGAGACAGTTTTCCAGAATAGCTGGTAATTGTTGTTTTCTTCCATGAGAGACACCAAAGTTAAAAATCAGTCTCAACAAACAGTCAGGACATCCCTTCAGAGCGGAGCTACATTGTGCTGTCTGTGGTGGATTGCAAGAGATATACCGATACTTTTATCATCATACCTGACAAACATGAACTACAGAATGAATCAAAGTCTGTATCAGTGATTCTGAAATACTTGATGACATTGATGCTCATGAGTCTGCGGGTTTTTCTTTTTAGTCAGCCACTGTAGCATTAGTTCCCCCTGTATGGCAGAGGTTATGCTGATCAATGAAATCAGGCAGGATCTTAGGTCATGAGGGCACACAGAATAAACAATGGTATACTGCCTCCAGTCAGTGAACACTTTCATTCAGGTAAGCATTAGATCTAATTTTCCCAATTTAAATACTCTATCTTCATTAATGCTAACTATTACACTTGATTCATTGACAGAGAGTCATTTTGAACAATGATTATTATGGTATTGTTTGTTAAAGTCTTGTTGTCTTGATGTCAGCTTGGGCTCTGAGAAAATTGTAATGGACATTTTTTATTAGCTTAAGAGATTTTATGGCAAGATATTCATTACTAAAGAAAATAATCATCAGTTTCATTTTATATATTTTTACTTTGAAAGTAGTTGCTATGGTATGTTTGGCACAAATTTGAAGGATAAATCAAAATTAAATTTAAATAAATTATTATTAGTATAGCTATATCTGATCATAACATCATAACAACATCACATTTATTCTAGAATATTTGATAAGATATTATCAAACTCTATATTAAAAAGCTAAATGTAGCCTATTCTGCATCAAGGTTAAAGTCAGTCCAAAGTTAATGACTTAAAACTAACTGGCTAAAGAAAAAGCACTAGTATGTTAGTGATGACTGTTAAATGTTTTGAACCTCTGGAGACTAAAACCTATCATTCTTCTCATTCTCCACTCTTTGCTGACTTTAAATATCTCCTCATTATATGGGGGTGGGGGAGATAATCAGTAATACTTACTGAGATGGAGAAGTCTTTGATCATTCAGTACATTCAGATTATGGGGGCTGTAACACAGACACTCACCAAGATTCCTCAGAGGATCGATGGCCTTTAACTTGGACGTCCCAGCTCCGTTCTTCACAGCCGGGGCTGCTTTCTTTCTGTTGCCCAACATAATGTAAAGAAGCTGCGCTTAATTTCGCTCTGCCTTCCTCTCTTCCTTTTGCCTTCCTTTTGCCTTCCTTGTCCCGGATCCTATGTTCTTTCTCTGGCAGGAGATCGGCAGTCTACTGTATGGAGCTCCTAAAGGAGAAGAATGTGCGATTCTCCGTAGCCACGGCGCTACTCATGCTTTTATCCTGGAGGAAAATAACATGATTTGGGCCAAACCTTCTCCCTGCTGATGTCACTGAGATTGGATTTAAACACAAAGCTATATGGTCAATACAACAGACACAGACTTCCTGGGTTGACTTTCAACATAAAAGTCGGTGAAAGTCGCTTCACGTTAGGAGGCTAGTAGCTGGGTGACTCAGGGTACTCTAATCTTATCATAAGTGTACAAAACCTTGTTCACATAAGGTCTGTGTAGCAGTGATTGAAGTAGTACTCAGATATTTTATTTCAGTAAAAGAGTATAGTAGTATAGAACAGTATAGAAATACTGTAACAAATCCTGCATTAAAATTTTTACTTTGATAAGAATATGTAATCTTTATGCAGAATTATCTATTTCAGAAAATTGAATTATAATGTTGCAGCTGGTAAAGGGGGTTAGTGGGTAGTTTGTGAATCAATAAAATCCTACAATAAAAAACTATAATAATATATCAGAATTTATTTGTTGCTTATATTCTGTCTGATCATTTCAAAAGAAAGATTTAAAGTTATTAGATAAATGCATTGGGGTGAAAAAATACAATATTTTTCTCTGATTAGAAGTGAAGTAGAGGTATGAAGCTGCATAGAAATAAACTCATAAAACTCAGAGATGACATGATGGGCTCATTGCCCACAATAAAATATATATTGTTTACTAAGAAAGAAAATCCCTTGAATAGAATATGATTTTATCAAATCCTGGTCTGTAGCATGTTTTACTGGGACAATCCTTTTGTCTTTGTCAAGGTTCACCAAAATAACACCTAGCACTGTGGGCCTCTGAATGGTGCCATTATGAGATGTGGCTGAAATATTTTTTCTTCATCTTTGCTCTCTGTATTAAACTTCTACACACTAGCCCACAAAATCAGGCTTTGTCAATCTTTTGTTAATTAAAATACATCTATTTATCAAATATAATGAAATACATATAGACTAAATTAAACATTTCCATACTTTTTATACTTTGTTGGCACAGCTCTTGTATAATCTCTTCTGGGCTCAAAATTGAAGCACTCAAATCTTAATTTACAAAATTACAATTACTACGCTTTTGTTTTGAAGGCAAACTCTCAGCACTTCCGGGATTTGTGTGTAATCTTTGCAGTTTAACAACAGACAGATCTTAAAAGGATTATAGACTGGGAGGGTGCTCATCTGTCCGATGTTTAAACAGTCCTTCTCGTCTCGGCCCATGAAGCCCTCATTTGAACCGACTCACAGTACTGGACCGAGAAAATGAAAATGTTTATCCTCTAATGCTGTCCACTGTAATTAGGGCAATGGTGCCGCATATTGATTTATGCACAAATGGGCCTAACGTCCCGTGTCGGCTGTAATGAATTGATTGCCCCAGTTGATCTGAATTAGGCCCAGCTTCTGTGCTCTGAGCTATTTCCTAAATTGCACCTGGGAGAACGTGTAGATTAGATTTCAAACAGCATTTACAACAATAGAAATCACAGGACAGAAATAGGCCTACAGATTTTAAGGATACTGACTTGTAAGGGGTCACTGGGTCTGGATGGCCGCTATATACAAAGAATTTCACTTCATTAGCCTATAATTGTGCCTTGCTTTTTGTGTCATTTAACAATTATATCCTTGGTGATTTCAATTTGTTTTTGTTTTTTTTTATAGGATTTTGGCTATTTACTGTAGGATATAGCCTATCAGTCAAAGGTTTTATAGAAATTTTTCAGCAGATGAATTCCAGTGAATGAAAAAATTATTTCATAAAACTGGCCTTTTGCAGTGATATAGGAACTGGTTACCTTGTAGCTTATCTGCAATAGTGAAAGTAAATTAATCATTAAAAGTTAATGCAAACAGGTGCCCACACTTTTGTTGATGACCTACAGACCCACTCTGTACAAAGGCAATGTTGGAGCAAACTGTATTACTACACCCTCTGATGCATTGTTAAGACAATACTGTGCTGCAGCAAGTAGTAGCCTACTGTATATTGCTGTCAGAATAGTGAGAAAGGGTAAATAACAAAGGAAGACAGACTAGTTGGTCAGTGATTCAGCCTACAGATGCTACAAAATAATGAGTCACAACATAAGAAGAAAAGAACTTATGGAGGCTTCACATGATGGAAGACCAGCACAGTCTCCAGACTTAAACCCCATGGACCTGGTTTGGGATGAATTGGAAAGAGGGTGAAAGCAAAGCAACCTGTAACAGTGTGTTGGGATCAACTTTCTGAACAATATTTCATTTCCAGCTGCTTGATGACAACAAATTTAGTTAAACAAAAAGATTCTATGATTCTTTTTTTTAAAATTGTTACAGATGGCAGAAGGAAGTGACGGAACAGGAAGCAAATTAGGAGAGATGGAAGTAGGTGGCGGGAGTTTTGAACAATGGGATATTGCTAGGAAAAATAAACACAAAAAAGAAATGTAAGGATGAATCAGATGATAGTGATTGCAATAGGGGAGCAACTAAAATGGAAAAAGGTGAGAGAGGAGTATAACATAATTTTCAAATACGCGTGAGAGGGGGCCTCTTTCGGCAACTTAATCGGATTCAGCTAACTAAATCCTTGAACAAGGAAATTGGGGAGGTAAGGAGTGTTAAAATATTGAGAAATGAATCGTTGTTGGTTATGTGTAGGGATGGAGGACAGCAAGGGTGAGCATACACATTAAACAAAATAAGTGATAAAAAAAAGTGGTTTGTTCTTTTGCTACTGACAAGAAATTAGTCAGACGAGTCATCAGAGGGATTCCAGTTCACATTTCGGTGGATGCTGTGAAGAAAACATAACAAAAACAAAAGTGGTTGAGGTAAGACTTCATTTAAAACATCTCAAGTATCAGCAATGCAGTTAGAAGTGGGAGAAATGCCTTTAAGGATCAGAGGAGTGAAGTTAATGCTGGCATATTGGGTTAATCTCCAGTGACAATGTGACAAACATTCTTCTAAAAATGTTTTAAAAGACTGCTGGGAACATAAAGAGACCGATTTCATCAGTTTTGGATGGATATGTAATGTGAAAGCCTGGTTACTCAATATATGGAAAAAGCTGGAAAATAAGTCAGAGCAACTCCCTGTATGGTACACTGTCCAGAAATATTTCACTAACCATTACTCAGATTCTGTATTTATATTCACAGATGGAGATGGAAATGAAGAAGTAGATATTCTGGCAAAGCAAACTCACAAAATTAAACAAGTAGACATTCAAGTCATATTCACTACAGCCAAAGCAAAAACATTCCTTAGGACACATACACAATCAGTATGGCAAGAACATTGGAATGACAGTAGAAATGGAAGGCATTTTCATGATATACAGGGACATGTTGGTACTTGGAGGGTGGCGAGCAGGAGAAGAAGGGAAGAAAATATCATCACTCGTTTAAGAATAGGTCACACAGGACTCAACTATACACTATATAAAATAGGCAAGCACCCAACTTATAAATGTATTCATTGTAACCAATCGGAAACAGTACAGAACATGTACTGCTTCATTGTCAGGGCTCTTGGGGAACTCTGCAACTATATGGTGACATTATTACATTTATAAATGAAACTGGTTTAACCAAAAGAATATATTTTTTTTGTTTTTTTTAATAGTTTTTTTTCTCCTGATCCACACTCCAGTCCAGTCGGTGGCGGTAATGCACCTATAAGCTGGTTAGCCAACCGCCATTAAACACAGAAGAAGAAGAAGAAGAAGAAGAAGAAGAAGAAGGGAAAAAAAAAAGATAATATTTCCTCACTCAACTGGCATGTAGTTTAAAAAAAAAAAAAAAACAGGATAAACAGCAGCTCACTGTCTGTGGAGGGCAGCGTTACGCTGTGTAGTTTAGAGCCTCAGGAGAAGAATGAGAAGCCGGAGGGGATAGGTTAGTCCTAGTCCAGGTAGGTCCGTGAGCAGTTTCGCAGGTAAACTTTACAATCCAGAAATACCCGGAACCACAGTAGCTACCCAAGTCGTACTTTGGTAATTGTGTGCTCTTTACATGTTGCTGCTGATGGCAGGTGGCAAGACACAGCCACTGATGTAGAACAAGTTAGCACGCTAGTTAGCTGGCTCAGTTAGCTCCCATATATCTCGCACTTCGCAGTCTTGTTTATTTGTCTCATCAAACCGAACTTGAATTTAGCGATAGGACGTTTCTCGGTATAGCTATGTAGCAGTATATCGTGTATGTTTCTACTTAAGTCGCTGTCAGATCTTGGATTCGATGTAAAGGACCAGTAAACCAGTTAGCATTAGAAAACGGCACTGCAGAAGTTTAGGGCCTGTGTGCTGTGGACAAACCTGGATTCCAACAATCCTCCTTTCTTAGAACACAGAGTGGTTCGGCGGTGTGAGCACTACATTACTCTGCCAATAAATATAGCCCTCCATTGTACTACAATGTTTTCTTTGAGTGTGATTAGATTTTTCTGACACTCATTATCAGAGCAAACACTTAAATCGCGGAGTGAAAGCCGTCTTTACAAATGAAATAGAAAAAGGGTCAGACTACTCCTTAGACTTCTGACAAAAACTGCATAATGAAAACCAATGAACATTACAGGCAAATCTGTGACTGAAGTTTACTGAAAAGTGCCAACTTTACAGGATCTGTGGACATTTCCATGAAATCCAGTGTCCCTTAGAGTACATAAAGATCAGTCATAAAAGCACCCAGCTGTAAGTCTGCTTTAAACAGGCCAACCTGAAAAACTATAATTAGTTAACAATAATAACTTAATAAATGTCTGAGAAAAATGGGGTCAGTGACGCCCTGATTGATCTACAGTAACTGCTGCCAAAGGTGCCTCTGCTAAACCTTGACCTTAAAGGGGTGAATACTTTAGCAATAAGTTATTTATGCGTTTCATATTTTTAATAAGTCTGTAACAATTTATAGAAATTAGTTGTCACTTAAACATTAAAGTCAAACTCTCAACTGATGCTTGGTGCAAAGAGTAATTTACATTAAGACCTCAAGTCGTGTTTTTGAAATTTTCTGAGATATATGAGCCTGTCACAATTCTGACAAAGCAGCTTCACATAAATTCAGTTAATGTGTTCAATGTTGTATGTGAGATAGATTATAATGCTTTTCAGATAATGTTAGTTTTTGGTTCCACTCTCCTAACTCTTTGATACATCTGTTTTTGTGTGATCTTTCAGCTCCGTCTGTATCCATCCTGGTAGATTTAACAAGTCAAAGTGTCATGCCAGTCCCAGCAATGGCAGAGCCCGTGGTTGATCACCAAAAACGGTTTCAGGCTGCTGTGGATCTCATCCATAACCTCCCCAAAAATGGTACATAACTTTTTACAGCCCTGGCACTTTGGCACACATCGTGTGACAGGAAGTAGCTGGTTAGGCTGGTTACAGTGCAGAGAAGGTTCATGAAACTATCTTTATTATTAAAGGATTGAACTGTGTAACTCAAAACAAGGCCTTAACAACTATGTACTGTCACCTGGATAACTTGTCAACAAGGAGGATTTTGAATACAGTGTCAACTCTTAATACTATTACGTAGACTGAAGATTGCCTCCTTGTGACTCATTCAGCATTTTATCGAATCCAAAACAAGAACCCTCAAATTTCGGAATACAGCAGCTTTAAGTTTCCTCTGTCCTAAAGATAAAGTGAGCTGCTGTTTTTTTCTGATCTGAAATCCTTTATAGTTTGCCCTGCCCCAGTTCAATGGAGAAATAAGCAAACAGCTAAACTTGATAAATGTCTGTTATCTTACAGGCTCCTATCGGCCGTCCTATGAAGTGATGCTACGTTTCTACAGTCTGTACAAGCAGGCTGTGTGTGGACCCTGTACAGTGCCCCGACCCGGCTTCTGGGACCCTGTGGGTCGCTACAAATGGTGTGTATGAGTGTGTGCTTGTATATCACTCTATTAATAGAGTTGGGTTACTTTTTGGTTGCAGACACTCTAGCTATTCGGTTGCTCTGATAAGTGGTTTTCTTACATGTACAGACAGTACTGTCCATTATATTTCCATTCAGAAATCAAAACTCGCTGCAGTCCGTCTCTAAATGTTTTAAAGTATTTTAATCACTCCACCTCCCCAATAGCCCCCCAACTATCCTGTGCCCTTGTGAGGAGGTGTACCTCACAGTTTGGGAATCTCTGATTTAGATCATTATCTAGTAACCAAATTGATTTGAAGTTTAGATATAGAAGAGCAGGATTTGTAACAGTAGCTGTGTGTTGTTTGCACAAGTGACCGTGTTCAGACAGAGTTAATATGAAGAAGTTCATCTAAAACTAGCATTGTATATAACAAGTAGTAGAATATTGTATAATGTTACATAGCCAAAAGTACTGTGGTTTAATCATGTTGATAATGTTGTGTGGTGTTTGGTTGTAATTGTGTGTGTGTGTGTGTGTGTGTGTGTGTGTGTGTGTGTGTGTGTGTGTGTGTGTGTGTGTGTGTGTGTGTGTGTGTGTGTGTGTGTTAGGGATGCCTGGAGCCGCCTGGGAGAGATGAGCAGTGAGAGTGCCATGGCAGTGTATGTGGAAGAGATGAAGAAAGTAGCTCAGGAGGTACATGACAGATTTATTTCAATCCAGCACTGCACGTAGTATTTCTTGCTACATCAAGACTACATCTGCAGACTGCAGGTAGTCAGTCAGTAGGTTTACAGATAAATGAATGAAGAAATAATTTTAAGTGAAGGCTTCTTACACATTGGCACATAAAGCCCACATTTGGCCATTGGGCACTGTTTAGACATTAACACTAATTTGTTTAGTTCAGGTTCTTGTTGGTTTCATTGCTCTCTGATCAAATGAGTTCACAGTTACATTGTGAATACGAAATGGGGCATTAAACAAAACAAAATAAATGTCTCTCAGCAGCATGAAGCCTGGTCAAATGAACACAGGGACTTGTATTGCAGTTAGCAGTGATCAATAAAGGATTCCACTGATCTGCAGGTCATCGACACTATGCCCATGAATGAGAAGACGGCCTCGCTCTTCCACCACTTCGAGCCTCTCTACCTGGTGATTGATGATATGCCGCGGCCTCCAGGGTCACTGCTCACACTTAGCGAAGGTTAGTGACCCTGAGGGTCAGCCTCTAACCAGCAGTAATAGAGCAGCTGGAGGGTACACTGATGTCTGTGCACTCCACCTCTGGTGAAACATAGCAGGGTCATTGTCTGACCATTTCTGTAACTTTCAGAAACAGAAAATCTAACATTCACACCCTCTTCTCACCGTCATTGGCCAGCTGTATAGAGATGTGAAAGGAGCCATGGATTGAGCGCCTCCCTATAGCTGTCTTTTTTATTTGTTAAACAACTATTTCTGTCACTTTTCATGAGAATTATTCATGTGCGACATGTGACTGTTTCCCAGGTTAATTGAAAATGTATGCTGTGTCCTTCAAACTGTAAACAATTTTGATTTCCAACGTGATTCTGATGGACCGTAAACCAGCCCTCAGAGCGAAATCAAGTCTAAAAGGTTTTTTGAAATACTCCAACAAGGACATACTTTTTGTGAAAACTGGTAGTTGTTTTGCATGAAACTAAATTTATAGATAATGTTTTAAGCAGCTATCATTAATATTTTACAATGAATGAAATGACGATGTGAAAACTGAAAGGTGCCTGAGGTAGTGATGAACCTACAGAAAATTATAAGCTGAACCTGCAGCTCCTCTTGGCTCTATGTAGCTTTATAGTTACTTTCAGCTCATTTTTTATCTGACTATTTCACTGCTCTCATAGTATCGTGTTCAGCCACAAGAGGAAGCTGTTTTCAGAGAAACAGCTGTAAAAAAAAAACTACTGTCCACTACCTACTCAGCAGCAAACAGCAGACAGACATAGTCAGAGAGCAGCTGGTGAACATGGTGGAGCATTTAGCAGCTAAAGAGACAGATATTTCCCTCAGGAGTTGGAGACCAAAACAGCTAACAGAGCTAAAAGAGAGGGAATGTTGGACATAAACACCACTACACCTGAGGGACCATGTAGCTGCATAACTGCTTAATGTGGAAAAAGGATACTAATTACTAATGTTAACAATGTTAGCTGTATCAATTTCATACAGTGATAATATATGTCCTTTCCTGTTTTGTTTTCACCTTGTTCCACTGCCTCCAAGTAGCCAAAAATTTCTTTAATGCAGCTTTAAAAATAGTGGTACAAACTATGATGGTGAGACAATACAATGCAGCTTTAAAATCGTGTGACATCTCTATGTTTCAAGTTTGAGCAGTTCAAGCAGGGTTTCATTTTTACTAGCCTTTAGTGATTATACATTCACCAGTCACTTTATTAGGTACACCTGTTCAACTGCTCATTAACGCAAATATCTAATAGTCCAATCACATGGCAGCAACTCAATGCATTTAGGCATCTAGAAATGGTCAAGACGATCTGCTGAAGTTCAAACCGAGCATCAGAATGGGGAAGAAAGATGATTTAAGTGACTTTGAACGTGGCATGCTTTGTTGATGCCAGAGGTCAGAGGAGAATAGCCAGACTGGTTTGAGCTGATAGAAAGGCAACAGTAACTCAAATAACCACTTGTTACAACTGAGGAATTTTGAACACACAACATGTTGAACCTTGAAGCAGATGGGCTACAGCAGCAGAAGACCACACTGGGTGCCACTCCTGTCAGCTAAGAACAGGAAACCGAGGCTACAATTCGCTCAGACTCACCAAAATTGGACAACAGAAGATTGAAGTAACGTTCAAAAAAATGCAAAACTTTGTGTAAACAACATGAAAGCATGGATCCATCCTGCCTTGTATCAACGGTTCACGCTGGTGGTGGTGGTGTAATAATGGTGTGGGAGATATTTTCTTGGCATACTTTGGGCCCTTTAGTACCAATTGAGCATCGTTTAAACGCCATAGCCTACCTGAGTATTGTTGCTGACTATGTCCATCCCTTCATGACCACAGTGTACCCATCTTATGATGGCTATATTCTAGCAGGATAGCGCGCCATGTCACAAAGCTCATATCATCTCAAACTTTCTTAAACATGGCAATGAGTTCACTGTACTCAATTGGCCTCCACAGTCACCAGACCTCAATCCAATAAAGCACCTTTGGGATGTGTTGGAATGGGAAATTCGGATCATGGATGTGCAGCCGACAAATCTGCAGAAATTGCGTGATGCTATTATGTCAATATGGACCGAAACCTCTGAGGAATGTTTCCCACACTTTGTTGTATCTATGCCATGAAGAATTAAGGCAGTTCTGAAGGGAAAAGGGGGTCCAACCTGGTACTAGCAAGGTGTACCTAATAAAGCAGCCAGTGAGTGTAATCAATGGGACCTGTGCTGTGGTGTGTGTGTGTGCTGTGTGTGATGTTGTTGTTGTCATGTGTGTGTGCTGTGTGTACATGTGATGTGTGTGTGTGTGTGTGTGTCCGCATATATATACGTGTGTGCGTATATATATATATATATATATATATATATACACATATATGGAAGAGTGTTTTTTTGTTACTGTAGGTCTTAAGGGCAGTGGGCATGCCGGCAGGCCAAGCGAAAATGTGAGGAAGTGTGAGGATGAGGAGCAGGAGGTGCCTAAAGAAGATTCCTCACTTCCAGAGGATGCAGACCAGGAGTTCAGTCTGGCTGAGGTTATAGACCTCACTGCCAACACCATCCCTAATGGTATGTACTGAGTGTTGCTCCTGTTCAGACCTCTCTTCTGGTATAAGACAATGTCAGCTCTTAGCTATAGAATTTTTAAAATGCACTTTTGCTCTGGAAACAATTTGCACCCACATGAATGTTTTCACAAGTGTGGAGGCAAGGCAAGTTTATTTAAATAGCCAGGGAGAAGCAGGCTGTATGAACCACAACGTTGTTTTATAGCGTACAATTCCTACAGTGATTCAAAAATAATTGAGATGTAATAATGGAGATGTTTTCTACATATATGTATGTACAGCTACATATATTGAGCTATATATCTATCCAATGCACATATAAATAGACATAAAACCTGTTTATCTCACATATCCAAAATGCTTGTTGAGCTGCTGCAGACTCTGGAGTGTCCGAGTGTTTGGTGTTAACCAGTGACTCAGAGAGTGAGATCTTCTGTGATTCTGTGGATTCAGTGGAGCAACTCGGTAACATCAAGGTACAACTCCCTCACATCCTCGAAAAGGTGGATGTAGCACTGGTCACACTGGCAACATACAGAGCAAGTTAACTCTATTGCAGGACACCAGGCACTATTCCAGTGAGCTGAAATATGAAAAGTGTAAATGGAGAGTTGAAGTATATGCAAATAAGGCTATTTCAACCAATGATTTCTGTTGACAGATTCCGGTAGTCAAGTCCAACAGTTTTCAGAATGGCCACGTGTCCTCGGAGTCATCTCCCTGTCTGGAGGCCCGACAGGTAGGAGCAGGTCAAGGTGGAGAGGGAGCAGACGACAGGAAGGGTCAGGGTCCCATCAGCAGGAGGCGAGACAGTGGGCGGGAGGGTTACTACCACAACTGGATAGAACGTAAGCCACTATAACCAATACTTCAAACACAACTTCAAGTACAATTTTCAGCAGTGCCTTCACTTTTTACATCTGCTTTTTGTAGTGATTGTCTCATAAATCAGGACTATATTGTGGTCCATAGGCGGTGTTCCTCAGGGCAGTCCGAGGTGGGGGGCCCCAGGTGGCGGTGGTGGGGGAGCAGGACGAGGAGGAGGGGATGGTTCAGAAGGTGGGGCAGAGAGGTTCCATGACACTCAGTTACAGCAGCAGATCATCGTAGCCCTACAGCGGCTCAGAGAGGACATGAGGAGTGTGATGGACAGGCTGGAGGTGGTGGAGAGGCTCGCTGCCACACATGTAAGCTTGAATATGATGATCATTCTGTGCTGACAGACCAAAATTGTTGTTTACCTGCCTTATTAACATGTTGTCATAGAAATTAAAAAAAAACTCAGCTCACCTGAATACACAAATGCATTTTGTCTATAGGTTTCAAATGTCAAAAGCTAGCAAAACTGTTAAAAGAAAATGTTAATGTTGGTACATAACTACATAACTGAACCTGAACTGAATTGACTAAGTAATTGTTACAACACTGGATTGCTAAGTAACGTTACAAGATACACTCCGGTATTTTTGTAGTCAGTGAAATAAAATGGTGTAGTTGGATATTGAGGCTGAAATTCAGTGTCAATTTATTTTTACTGTTGATGTAATTGATGTAGGAGTAGAGGAGTGCAGGAGTGAGGTGAAAAGTGAGATTAAAAATGTCAGAAATGCAAGATGACTGTCAGAAGTAGGTCAGCATTATTCTGCATGGTTTTTGTTAACAAATCCCAGTAAAAGACCCAAAGCAACAATATGTTAGGTCATCTCTCAACACTTTCTGACTTCCCTCCTGTCTGTCTCTCTCAGCTCCAAACACACTGGTCCCTACTGAGGATGTTAATCTTTAAACATAACATAGTTTCATTTTCATAAAGCCTCAGTAATTTCCTAAAACAGCTGCTTGCTGTAGTTTTTTACGAACATTACTCAAACAGGAGGAAATAGTGCATTATTTCTGGACTATTTTCAGTGGCGCATTAATCCACATTTGGTGCTCTGTATTTGGGGCAGCAGGATGGTGTGTGGGGGACTGAGTCAAAATAAACTACAGTATGTGTGTCCATGGTGATGATAGAACATGTCACCACTGTATTTTTGTGTCTCACTGATTTTTAATAGTTTTTGGAAACAGTGGAGCACTGTGGCTCAGAGGAATGGGGTTCATCGGGTTGTGATACACATACTTGTTACAAGAAGACATTGGTTTGGCTCTGCAAATGAGATTTGTTGACGAGAATAACAATCTAGAACATCATGAGACTCTTGAAGCTGTAGATGTGCTCTGAGCTCATTGCTGCTTTCTGTGTGACAGGCTCAGGGTTCAGAGTGGAGACCCTGTCTGCAGTGTGCAGCCACAGCTTCACATCAACAGGTAAGAGAAAAGCAGTTTCTCCTACTCTTACTTCCAGGTTCTTTTTGTTCTGCAATTGTTGGTGTTGTTAATGAATGTACTAAACCGAAGAGAATATCTTCAAAGTAAACACTGAATGTGGGTATGACAGTTAATTCTGGACCCTGAGAACACTAGTTTTCAGCTTTTGATCAGCTAATCGTTAATCGTCAGCTAACTGTGATATTTGCTTAAAAGCTCTGGAAATGACTAGAGAATGAAACCTTGAATCGGTATTATTTGTCGAACTAATTTGCTGAATTTTTTATTTATTTATTTTTTAACAGGTTGTCTGACAATGTGCCATGATTAAAAATGGCCTTTATGACCAGTTTTGAGGTCTATTTAAATTACTGATGTTCTTTTTAAACATTGGAATAAAACTAAATTCTACATTCATCTGTGTAAGTGTGAGTAGAAGTTAATGCTACACCAATCAATATTTTAATATCGTATATGAATCAAATAACTAAGTGTATTATGAGCTCTGTCGCTCGTAGTGACAAACTCAGAAAATTATCACCATCCCTGCAGTTCCCCTCAGGTCTATGGAGCGTTGTCTGAATGTGTTAATAACACATAAGCCAACAAGTTAATAATGTGATAATATGTCAGTGTTTAATTTACAGCCTGTTGTTAGGCTGCCTCCAAGTGGCTAAAAACCATTGATACTGCTTTAAAGTATATGCAACATTTGTATAATTTCTATGTTTAATTTGAAGATTTCAGACTTTGGTGCCACCAGTTGTAATATCAAAAACACATTGGCAGACAGCAATTAACCTCGCAAGGGGTTTCTGTTTTTAATGGCCACAGTAGCCAGTGCTCCGCAAAAGTTAAACACTAAGGGCCTGATTTACTAAGATCCCAAATAAAGAGTGCTAAATTGCGTGCGCACACGGATAAGATTGCGCGCGCTGCCTGTTTGGGCCTTGCGAGTGATTTACTTAGATTAACAGCGCAGTTGACTACAGGCGCAAAAGTGATCGAGCCGGCCCTATTTAAATGAGGATTTTGCGCGAGTTAAGGGTGTTCACCGTGGCGAATGCAAACGAGCAGATCCAATTGGACCGGAATTGGAGGTGTTGGTACAAGAGGCAAACAAGCACATTTCTGTGTTATAGCAAAGGAATTTAACCGTTATTAGGAGGAACGCAATATGGGAGGCAATCTGTGACAAGGTTAATGCTGTGGGGAAAACTAAAAGAACACCAGATGAAATGAAGAAAAGGTGGCAAGACATTCGTAGAAGAACAAAGGAAAAAATCACACAGAATAACAAATCGGCAAATAAAACAGGTGGGGGACCGGCGGAGGAGGACCCTCTGTCTCCCATTGAACAGCAGGTGCAGCTGACTTTCTGTGATGAGCAGATTACTGGGATAGAGGGAATATTTTTAATTCATTCAGGTACACCACATAAGACATGAACGTGCGTCATGAACGTTCTTTAGCTGTGCAATGGAAAAGCGTAATTGCCAAAAGGGTTTTTTTTGTTTGTGCGTTCCAGCAGGGGCGCAGAAGTGTGTCCGTTTTCATTTGTTTTAAGTTTCAGGAAAAAATGATAGGAACTCGGCCGAACTAAATGTTTCCTATGTCTAAAAGAAAGTGGGCTTTAGTACATAAAAATGTGAGTTTTTGGTTTTGTCAAAATAGCACAAACAAGAAACACTTGACATTATGATGCAACATTTATTATTTAAGGATTTTCTGAACTCTGAACGAATGACTTTTTTCTTTTTTTCTTTTTCAAAGGACAATCATGGCATCGCCGGATAACCGATATGTCTCGATTATTTTTTCTTCTGCCATTCCAAAAAGAGTGACACGAACAGAAAAGATGCGTTCTCTCCGTTGCCTGTTGTGCCTACGCCGCCTCCTTGCAACAATGACCGCAGCCATCTGTGCGCACGGCTGTGCCAGGTAGCCTAAGACTTGACTTTCAAACGTGCTAAATATAGACGCAAAAATAATCAGCGCAATTAGTTTGAGGTTTGGTAAATCTCATTGCGTGCGCAAAATGATTCTATTTGCATCTACTCCTCCCAATATTTTGCGCGTTCTGGCAGGCACGCCTATATTGCATATTCATGAAGGCAGAAGCGCAAAATGGATAGCGCGTGTTATTTTGCCCGACTGACAGACGCGATCCTCGGTGCGCCCGGTTGGTAGATCAGCATCAACATGTGTTTGCGCGTGCTGTCGCGTTTGCGCACGTTTTTACGCACGCAAAGCTTTAGTAAATCAGGCCCTAAATATTTAGTGAAAACCAGTTGTCAGGTGTGCGATGTTCAGTTATTTAACACTAAAGTGGTCTGTCTCTGGTTTAAACAGGGTTGTGTGAGCATTGTGACAGCTCCTGGTTATTTTTGTGATAAATAATGAACTGATTGCTTTTTCTGTCAGGAGGAGAGGTGGTGGCCTTTTGACATCTCTGGTCAGACCGTCCTTCTCTTCCTGGTGTGGCCATTTGTTGCTCAGGGTCTTGTCTACCTGTTGAGGAAAGCCCAGAAGAGAAGTCGTGTTTCTTCGTGAGGTGAGCTGTAGAAGACACTCAACCATCAGCCACAGTGATCTGTCAGTGCAAGAAGTTACATCTCTACTTCAGAAAGCACTGACTCTAATATGAATCATGAGAAGACATCCTCCACCCTCCTTCTGTGCATGGGAGGAGGGAGAGAACTGTTTGTTTCAAAGACAAATGTGTCTGGTTTTATTGCACACCTCAGGATCCAGAAATCCTCTCACTCACCACAGCAAATGAATCTTAATTTAAACTATTCTAGTTGATTCATCTGCTGGCTTGTGTTGAGCTGCAGGAATCAGACACTTAACATGATACTGTCTTAATCAAACCTGGAGAAGTTCTTATACTGATCATGAGGTGCCTGAATTAAAGATTTAGGATTAAGTCAGTGAGACCTAATTTGTGTTCATCTGATTCCTTTTCTTCTGGTTTTTTTCTTCATAAGCTCAACATCTTTACAATATACAGAATATTAACAAAATATTACCAAAATAAAATAAGTGTCCAATGAGGGAAGTCAGATTTTGAATTTAACACACAGAAATTGGAGTAATGTCACTGTCTGAAATGTCTACAACAATATTAAAGTAAACTGTGAATGGGAACTCTGTGGCTACACTTATCATTTCATTTGTAGTCTCTGAGTTCTGACTCTTGAGCTCAGGTTGTTTGTCAGTGGTTCCATTAACTTAAATCCAAGTCTTAAATTGAAATGGTGTTTCCATTGCTCTGGCTGCTATGTCTTTTACTCAAAATGGCTTCTGTCTATCCACTTTACTATAAAGGTCTGATTGATGGAGTTCTGCTGAGATGGTCATCCTTCCAGCAGGTTCTCCATCTTTTTCATCTTTTTCATTTGTATAGCGCCAATTTACAACATAAGTTATCTCAAGGCACTTTCCAAATAGAGCAGGTCTAGACCTTCTCTTTGTAATATTATTTACAGAGACCCAACAATTCCCACCAAGAGAAAGCGCTAGGTGACAGTGGCAAGGAAAAACTTCCTTTTAAGAGGTAGAAACCTTGAGCAGAACCGGATTCAGGGTGGGCGGCCATCTGCCTCGACCGGTTGGGTTGGGAGAGAGAGAGAGAGAGCAAGAGAGAGCACAGAGGAAAAGAATAGTAGTGCTTCTACTGATAAAAATAGTAATGACAGCTAATAACATTAATAATTATCATTATTAATTGTAGTAAATTTTAGCAGGTTTAGCAGCAGGATCGTGGGGGGAGTAGATGGTTTGCAGTTGCAGATCCAGAGATGAAGGAGAAGGGAGAGAGAGGCACACAGCCTGGGCACTCATGTGCTTGAGGGAAAAAAACAAATGGTTAGAATGATGCAGTGGTTTTCAGAAAGTTTACAGTGATCTTGTCACAACCTGGACTATACTGTATTGAGTTTACTGATTTATTGAGACTGAGGCCCACCCACAGGTGGTAGGATGGGTACAAAGCCTAAGTTTGTAAAAGAATAAGAAGCCAACTGGGGCGTCGTGTGGCGTAGTGGTCTAAGCAGGCGCCCCATGTGTAGAGGCTACAGTCCTCGCTGCAGTTGCTACATGTCATTCCCTCTCTCTCTGCCCCCCATTTCCTGTCTCTCTCTACTGCACTATCGAATAAAGGCATAAAAAGCCCAAAAAAATATATACTAAAAAAAGAATAAGAAGCCAACTGAAAGTTAGGGCATAAAAATACCTTTTTAAGTTTAGATTTGAAAGTCTGAATGGAGTCAGACAGTCTAATATCACAGGGAGGTTGTTCCAGAGCAGAGGGGATCAATAGGAAAAGGCTCTGCAGCCAGCAGACAAGAGCCCTAAATTCTGGGAACGGAGAGCACAAGATGGAGTATAAGGTTTAAGCAGAACAGATGGGTATGATGGAGCAAGTCCATTTAGAACCTTATATGCCATCAAAAGCACCTAAAGTCTGATCTGATATGGACAGGAAGCCAGTGAAGGGAGGCTAAAATCGGTGTAATATGGTAAAATTTTCTGGATTTAGTAAAAATTCTAGCTGCAGCATTCTGAACTATATTTGAAAACTTTTAATACAGGCAGGCCAGAAGACAAAACGTTACAATAATCAAGTCTTGATGAAACAAAAGCATGAATTAACATTTCAGCATCAGTCGTAGACAGAAAAGACTGAATCCTAGCAATGTAACGTAGATGAAAAAAGGCAGTCTTGGTGATATCTTTAATATGCTGATCAAAGGAGACGGAAGAATTGAAAGTAACACCCAGATTTTTGGCTGTCAGACTATGAGAAATCACAGTTATCAAGAGTTATTGTTACTTGATCAAACTGGTGTCTATGTCGGGTCAGGCCAACGACCAGCATCTCAGTTTTGTCTGAATTTAGGAGCAACAAAATTATGAGACATCCAGTTTGTCTTAAAGCTACTAGGAACAATGCCAGAAGTCAGTGATAACTTACTAATGTTCAGCACTGAAGGCCCCAAGATAGGCCAGAGGTCTTTGGAGAGCTTAGCTGGTAGAGGGTCCAGTAGACAGGTGGTGGGTTTAGATAGATAGATAGATAGATAGATATATACTTTATTTACCCCCTAAAGGGAATTCATGTGTCCATTAGCTCATTGTTGATAATAATAATGATAATAATAAAAACAATTAATAATAAATAAACAACAATAATTAGATTTGTCCACTTCCTTTGGCTGAGGTGTTGTATAGCCTGATGAACAAAGGATCTCCTGAACCTCTCTGTTCTGCAATGCAGTGAGATGAGATATTTACTTCTGTAGCTGCTTCTCTGTCCTGCCAGAATGAAGACAACACCAACACCAGCTTAGACAGCGCTTTAAGAGACAGTCTCAAAATTTGTTGAAGGAGAAGTACAGGGACTCAATGTAATGCTCTGCTGGTTCTGTAGAAGCTGGAGAAGAAGAGGTGATTTTATGTTTAATCTTTTCTATTTTATAACTGAAAAATTCTAGAAGGTCATGGGCTGTAAAGGACGAGTAGCTAAGAGATGGCTGCTGCTAAGTGAGTGAAGCTACAGTGTCAAAATGAAATCTATGATTGTGTTTATTGTTACTGATTCACTGAGAGAAGCAGGCTGCTCTAGCAGTGGAGAGAGCACATTTGTATTTTAAAACACACTTGTGCCACAGAGCACTAGAGTGCTTCAGATTTTGATTTGTGCCATTTACGCTCCAATGCAGGCCTGCTCCAGTGCTGTTTTCTCAGTAAACCATGGTCTAGACCTCTTTAACTGTCTAGTGGTGAGAGGAGCAACTGAGTCCAAGGCGCTAGACAGAGCTGTGTTTAATTTACTAGTACAAATTTTGTGAGCGAGTTGCTATGGTGAATGGAGCAAGGGCCTCCGGTAGTTTCTCACTAAGAGTAGCTACAGTTGCTGGACCAATGTGTCGTATGGTAAATACATTTGAGCTGGTAATGTGAGGACAGGCTAGTGTTCCTTTAAACTTGATAAGTTTAAAGGAACACTAGCCTGTCCTCACATTACATGACTTAATATAAGAGCCTCGAAAGAGTTAAAGGTCACTTCCCGTTTAGTCGTCAGTGTGAAATCTGATTTATAGATTAAAGCCACACACCCACCTTGCGTAGTGGCTCTAGCAGCATGTGCATTATTATAATCAGGTGGGAAAGCTTCAGTAATAGGAAGGATAACATTTGGTTTAAGCCATGTTTCACAGAGACCAATCATATCCAGTTTATGCTCAAGAATCAAGTCATTTATTAGTCATTAATAAAAATGATCCAATGATCAGGAAACCAAATTTGAGGGTCCGTAAGGCTTCTGATAGAAGAGGCCTTGATAGGAATAAGACATCTTTTTATCTTATTTCTAAGGAAAAATTTAGAGGGCCTGTGCATGTGACAGTTTGAGGATACAGTAGTGATTTTGTTTTGGAGAAATGTGTCAGATGTGTTGTGAGGCACTTCATTTCCACAGGTTATAGGAATGGTGTCCAATGTGTGGGGATTTGCATGTTTAAGAAACTTATGAGTAGTACAGTCTCAATATTATAAATTTAGCTATTAGGCAGATAGTCTAAACTATCGAGATTTTCCTCCCTAGGCTAGATTCTAGACTAGTGGACTCCAAAACCGCCTATAACACTAGCAGGCTCTGTAATCACCTGCAACCTGCTAGGCACTACGTCTCTAGTGTCAAACCTGCTGTAAACACCTGTCTGTATTACTGGACAAAACAGCAGTGCCTTTTCCGGTAGGATTAAGGCCCCAGAAAGGCCAGTTATCTACAAAACTATATCCCTGCTCTCTACAGTGACGGGCCAGTCAGTGGTTCAGAGACAGAAGCCTGCTGGAAACCTCATCAGTAGTAGGCTACCCTGCATGGGTAATGGACCAGAGACAGTTAATCGATGCTGACTCATCTTTCTGGCAAACTCAAACATCCTAGCCAGGCTAGATTTTGTGACCTCTGACTGCTTTATCCATATTTCATTGGTGCCGACATGAATAACTACGTGGTTGTAGTGGGAGCTAGTGGTGGAGTGTGCCTGGGTACCCTGTTTCTCCTGTATGATGGCAGCACCCTAAGATTAGCCTTAATGTCAGAGGCTCTAGCCCCAGGTAGGCAGTAAACGCAGGCTGGTGAAGCTAGTTTAACATTGCTGGTAATGGAGTCCCCTATAATTAGCGTGCATAGCTTAACCCTGTCCCCCAAGGTGGAAGAGGAAAGCAGGCCAACGGGATTACCAACCGGGCTGGCTCTGCCTGTTACAAGCAGAGTGAGCTGAAAATTCTCTGAGATGCTGGGATAAGGCAGATGAACATTATAATACAGCCTCAGAAGGTCGAAGCTTATTTGTGACATGTTGTGTGTTGTGTAACATTTTCATGTTTAAGCCTCTTTCAGGAGGCTCTGCAGAGAAGCATTTATTCATCACCTAAATTTGTCCACCACAGTTTCATAACAAACTGAAGATTTATTCACTGTAGAGCTGACAGAATCTGACTTTGTGTGAAACACTGCGGCATTATAATAGCAATACGCCAAGGTGCAAGCGCACCCGGCTTTTAAAGGGAATGGGAGATGGCACTGTGATGACGCCTAAAACACTCCCATGGATAATTAAGAGATTAAGTACAACCCTTTGAAACGATGCGCCTGGTGCAGAGACTGTTTTTTCCACCATTAAAATAGCAAATGTGACATGGACGCCCTAAATGCACTCGCACCATGCGCTTTGGATTGTTAAACTAGAGCACCATGTTTTGTTTGTTGGTCAATTATTCACTTTCCACTGTCTCAAGATTGCAATGTGCCTGACCACACCTCATTTTACAACTAACATACCCATGGTGTACAGATGGGCACAGGTGTATTTGCTATTTAAAAAACGGGGGCACTGGGGGAAAATGACAACTGAGTCAGTCTTAAACTAGTAAAGACACTTGCGTTAGGCTTTGCGCTGGGTGTACGATAGGGCCCCAGATGTAAACAGTCACTGAAGTACACTGAGATGACAAATGCAATTGAAAACAATGTTACTAGATTATGAACTGATTTCTTGGTGAACACTCAAGTATAAAACTGAAGCATGAGGTCAAATTAAAAATGTATATTTACTAGAAGGTGGTACTGTTTCAAGTCTGTGGTAGTAGTTGGGAATTTTAACATAAAGGGCTCTAGTTTTATAGGAAGAAATCTCATCAAGATTACAAATCTGAAATCTATTACTTACAAAAAATTCAGACCCTTAACCTGTCCCTGCTGGTGCTGCTGCAAAGTCCCCCATAGCGTGATGCTGCCTCTACCATGTTAACCGGGTGATGAGCAGTGCCTGGTGTTCACCAGACATAGTGTTTGGAGTTCTTCCCAATGTTCAGTTTTTGTCTCATCAGAGAGAATCTTTTTCATCAAACTCTCAGAGTCCTTTAAATGCTGTTTGACAAACTGCAGCTGGCTGCTATGTCTTTTACTCAAAATGGCTTCTGTCTATCCACTTTACTATAAAGGTCTGATTGATGGAGTTCTGCTGAGATGGTCATCCTTCCAGCAGGTTCTCCATCTCTCCAGAGGACTTCTGAAGCTCTTTTACAGTGACCTTTGGGTTCTTGGTCACAACCCTGACCAAGGCCCTTCGTTACTGGTTACTAAGTTTGGCCTGACAGCCAAGAGAGTCCTTGTGGTTCCAAACGTCTTCCATTTCAGAGTTTTTGAGGCCACTGTGCTCCTGGGAACACTCAGACCTTATCTTTGCTTAACCACAGTTTTATCACAGAGGTCAACAGAGAGTTCCTTGGACTTCATGCCTTGGGTTTTGTCCTGATATACAGAGTGAATTGTGGGACTTTACAGTGGCAAGAAAAAGTGAACCCTTTGGAATTACCTTTTTTATGTATAAAGTGAACCTTAATTATGGTCAGATCTTCATTCAAGTTACAATTATGAAGAAACACAAACTATTTTAGCTAATAACACACAAATCATTGTTTTGTCCTTCTGCATATTGAAAATATCATTGAAACTATCACAGTGTAGGTTGGAAAAAGTATGTGAACCCCTCAGCTAATGGCATCAACAAAAGCTAACTGGAGTCAGGAGTTATCAAACCTGGAGTCCAATCAGTGAAACAAGATTGGAGGTGCAGGTTGGAGACAGTTTGGCTCATAATAAACACAAACATTTTGAATTTTCTGTTCACAAGAAGCGCCTGCTGATGTGGACAAGAAGAAAAAAAAAAGAGCTCAAGAATTGTTGATTTGCATAAATCTGAAAGGATTAAAAAGTCACCTCAAAGAGTTTAGATCTTCACCAGTCCACAATTTTAGGTCCAAAATGCCACCTGAACATTGAGCAGGTCTGATCAGTTGCTACTGGAAGAGCTGGTTTGAGGTTATTGGTGCCTAATGAGGTTCAACCAGTTATTAAATGCAAGGGTTCACTTAACTTTTCCACCAGCAATGTGAATGTTTAATGGCTGTGTTCAATAAAGACAAAAATTATATAATTGTTTGTGTTATATTAGTTTAGGGCCCCTCTGTTTGTTTACATTTTTGACTCAGATGACTTAGATTCTTGCCACTGTATATACACAGGTGTGTGCCAATCAAATTATAATCTGTATACATCTCAAAATAATTAAACCAAACAGTAAGCACCTAAACACAGTTTGGAGCCATGGCAAAAGGTCTGAATACTTTTGTTAGAGATTTCAGTTTTTCATTTTTAATGAATTTGTAAAAATTGTTTTCACTTTGTCATTATGGGTTGTTGAGTTCAGATTGATGGGCTGCTGCCCTCATCAAATATGTTTGACATAACTAATATCAAATTTTACATTGAATTAGGTTAAAACAGCCACCTAATTAAACGCGATGGTCAGGAAAAGCAATTCTCCAGAAGAGAAGAAAATGAAAAGAATGATCTAAGTCAAAGCAGCGTCCCTAGTATGAGTCAAGTGCCAAGAATACTACATCTCACATTTTCCATTATGCAATTGGATAGTGTCTTTCATTAGGCACTCTCTGTCAGGTTAATGCTAATTTTTTCATAGCCAAGCTGAGGTAACCCTGATATCTGATGACATCATGAAGCTGATTTTACAGGCTGAACTTACACTTAGCTTTCCGTATAAAGTCTGCAGAATGCCGCTTTAAAATTATGAATTCCTGTCAACAGCTGAAGGTAAATATTAGTTTGCAGGCTGATTTTTATAGTTGATGTGGTTGGCAGAGGTACAACCAATGCAGATCATTATTCTTAAAGAGTTCAGTCTCATTACTGCCTCATCTGCATATACTGTGGTACCACATCACTGTGAAACTCTTTTGAACTCATTTATACCTTTTAGATAAAAATAAATACATGAAATGCATTTCCAAAACAAATAATTTAATATATTATGTATAATATTTATATACACAGGTTAACTTAACAAGGCTTTGTACAGCTGTTACAAAAATTGGTCCACACAGTCACACACATACATAAAGTACATGCACAAGGGCACAGTTAGAGAGAAGGACTGAGAAGACTGAATTTAGATATGATTAAGACCAACATGGAGTCTGGCTGGACGACAGTGGTTGGCATGACATTTAGGTTCAGCTCCATTTTGTTTTTTCAGACTCTACAGTTCTGGGAAGGAGCACACTGACAATGTGAAAAGGAAAAATGCAAGAATATCACTTAAGTAAGACTCTGGTCTTGGATTTCAAGAGGTTATTTGCTCACTTTCATCTGCTCCCATGGCAATGCTATCTTTATAACACTGATATAATGTATCAGCTGGAGTAACACTGAAGCTCACTTTGCCTCCATACTGTTCATAATGTACAATTACCCAAATAGGAAAAAAAAAGAATTTTGGCATGACTTCACATAGCTGCCTCAAACACTTTGTTCCTTTGATGAAACAGGCATCAGTAACCTCTGGCCTGTCTCTCCAAACACACACATACAGAAAAGTACAACAGGCGTGTGTTGATCACTTTGCATATTTTTATGTCATTGACCTCATGCAAGCCGTGTGTTAGAACCATGAAAGCTCTGGCATGATGCCCAAGTCACATTGTCCAGAGAGCGAGTGAGTTTGTTTTGCTCCCATGGAACACTGAAGATCCCTGTAGATCCACTGGAAGATTGGGAAGAGCTTGTAAAGGGCTGAGAAGTGTGCAATGTGATGTTTGCCCATGTGGATACCATCAGTGACATAATTAGTGAAAACTAGTTGGGGGAGACCACAACATTCTGTATGTACAGCATAATTGTAGGTTGGAAATGAAAAACATGGCCAATGATGACTTTGCTGAATTGTTTGCTGGTGAAGGTTTGCTGGAACAGCAGCAGCTGCACTCTGGAGTTCGATTCAAATATGTAATATGACTTGCTTTCTCTCTTAATTCACAAATAGAATACACCTTTTGAACGGAAAACCAAAGCCAACCCTCCATACCATGGTTTGATTCTTTGTTTGTTTTTTTCCCCAAAATTATCCTATTTCCAGTATTAAGTAAGAGTTAGTGGTTATAGAGGAATGTCTGACCATCTTCATAGAACTGACCTGAGGAGGATATATAGAAGCAGAAAATGCTGTGATGCAGCCATTAAAGCATGTTGTTCTAATGGATTCTGGTGCATTGCTCTTGGACATATTTTTGGGGATGATCTTTTGCATTTATGTTCCCTCTTTTGAACACTGCTTTGCAACTTACCGTACAACTCTCTTTTGATATGCAGGTGATGAAACCATTTTTGGTGAAAAGTATAACCAGTTATACTGCCGTAAAGGCACAGACACACCACCATTTAAAATCGCTTGACTTTTGCAGCAAAATCTATCATCTATCATCATTTACTTGAATGGGAATGTTGCAATTCGCTGGTGGATCGCAGTGAATTCACTCATTGGAGTGAAGTAAATCTACAAACTACCTTCAGACTATTACAAAGTACTTAAACTTAACACCACAGACTAATAGCAAACCATTTTGAAAGTTATCACTTTGAAAGTCCAGAATAGTGGAAGCTATTGTAGTTTTTTTGATAAACCTAGTAAAATGCAATACAGAGGAGTAATGGTTTGTAGATGGTTATAAACTATGTGAACATAATGTCCTGTCGCTATCAAGCTAACAGTCATTTAACATGCTACCTTGTACAGGGAACTATTGTGACTGACTATGGTTGGCATGTTTCCAGGTGGTTAGCCAGTTAGTTCACCAACTAGGTCTTGCGAGAACACAATATGCCACCAAGCTTTTAGTATTAGTAGTAAGGAATTGGGATGAACTTCACTGTGCCACTTTCTTGTGTGACTGTGCCTTAATTCTAAATTCTAGGGTCCTTGGAAAAGTGGTCTTTCTGGTGAGAATGCCAGAGGAAATACCAGAATCTCAATTCCCAGTATTCAACCCATGTTCTTTGCACGGTGTATAAGGACATGGATGATTACATCAACAGCCAATCTGTAGGTAAAGGATTAGTGTAGAAGCAAAGTACAGGTTTCTGGCACAACTCACCTACTTCCAAAGTGGAAAAAGGTGTAAGGAAAAAGTCTAATGAGGTCAAAACTCCAGCAACACTTGCAGTATAAAGAAGGACTTTATGTATGTTGTTTGAGTTTTGACGTCATGAGTAAAGGATTAAAAATTAATAAATTCAAATGCAATTGAACAGCAGAATGTTTCTTTTCAGAAAGACACTGTCAAAGAATTCCTTTACAGAGGGATCACATCTCCAACTGTACTGTAAATAAAAATCCATGAGGCAAGAGTCTTGAGACAACTGAGATCCCCCAAATAACATGATGGACACTTGGCTTTAGAAACAGTGACACAGGTGATCCAGTGTTAGTGAGTAAACGGCAAGTACTGCATTAGTAGATGACGCAGTCAGGTTAAACTACCACTGTATGACGACGCCACACACGCATCTTATCCCGTGGGTCCAGGGTTGATCTCCTCACAGTAGAAGATCCTGGGGAGCTTTGGTCTATCCATCCTGAGGAAGAGGAGGAGAAAGGGGGAGCCCTCTGGACAAGACAAGGGAGGGGATCTATTTGCTGAATTGAGTTAGGGCCTACAATTGATCCCTGAGAAACCCCAACACACCCATGCTGACCTGGTGCTGGCTCAATGACTCTGATCACTTCCACCCTCTCTGCTCTTCCCCCTCTGATTCTGTCCTCCTTCCTGCCTAGCTCAAGGTCCAGATTCATGGACATAGCCCTTGTCCTCCCACCTCTGGTCTTCCTGTAGCGGACTGGTACAGGTTGGTTCAGGTCTGGCTGCTGGGTCCCGTTTAATCTGGAGGCCTGATAGAGGCTGGGAAGCTTGGTGGGGGAGATCCAGAAAGGGACAGTGGGGCTCCCTCTTGCTAGATTGTCAGGTCTCAAGTGGGAAAGAGGATTAATCACAGGTGCGGGTCTTGGGTATGTGGCATGGATTTGATGGTGTGAGTAGAGAAAATTGTTTGGGCGAAGCTGCAGTGCAGTTCCTGGCGAGGTCACTCTCTGCCTGCTCTCCTTTTTTGTGCCATTGTTTGTTCCCTTCCCTTCATCCTTTACAGCCTCCTCTCCTCCGATCAATGAATCACTTCCCTCTGTGGTCTCTCCATCTTTCACCCCATTTCCCTTTTCATCCCATTTTTCTTTTTTTGGGATAATATTTTCTCCTTTGACTTCCTCTTCCTCCCCTCTATACTCTTCCTCTTCTCCTTCCCCTCCTTCTCCTGCCCCATAGTTGCTGGCCTTGACTGGCTCATGCTCGGAGTCCTCGTCAGCGCTGCTGCCTGGCAAGAGGGTACTAAGGCATTTTTTACGTTTGCGGGTCACAGCAGAGATGATGGACTTGGGTAGGAAGTCCCTGGCATTCAGGTCTTTCTTGGAGCCTGAAGAAAGCTGAAAGGTTGAAATCCCAGTCAAATAATGGTAACTCTATACTTCATGTTTCATAATCCGTGATCATATTCCCAGATTTAAAGTACAAGTGACCTTACCTTTGACTTAAGTGAATCACTGGTGGTTGAATCTATTGGAAAAGAATATGACGTGAATTTGAGCCATGCCATCTTGAACAAGGGGTGGTGTTCAGAGTGATACAAAGGTATGATATCTAGCTAATCACAGCACACACTACCAGTACTGCAACCTTCCAGGAGAACTCTAGGCTCATTATCTGAGGAATTGTCTTTAAAATCAGGAAAACAACTGCAACTGTTTTATACACTTTCAGTAGCAAAAAATGCTTGAATTTGCCTGTAACATTAGCAAGGCAGCAGGGTTATGGTCACTGGTGAAAACTAAGACTGATGGAAAGAAAATGAATGGCTTAATCCAATCCAATAGAATCCAATATATAACAATATTTAAAAAATAAATAAATAAAAAAATAAAAAGTCAATAGAAGCACCAAATACAAAAAAACAAGAAGACCTGTTCCTACCGAAGAGGCTGATCCACTGTCTCAACTAGAGGAAATAAGTGCAGAAAGGTCCAGAAAGAAAGATAAATTGAGAAAAAGTCATGAGTATTCACAGTCAGAAACATAACAGCTGGGAAAATAGTACAGAGATCTACTGGGACGGAGAGATGCTGAGTTTCTTGTAGCATTAGAAATACAGAATGTGAAAGTTAGTTAGTTAGTTAGTTAGTTAGTTAGTTAGTTAGTTAGGGTTTAGTTAAGGATTAGGGGTTTTAATTAGCAGGCCAGGCTCTTTTCCCTGAGCTGTAATACAGACTGTTTCCTATGTTTCCTATGTTTAAGATAAATATGAACGATCAAGAAATGCTTTCAAGTCAGGTCATACATGTGGCCTACAGAAACAGAAAGAACCTTTCCCATAAGACCCAGACATTCTTGTAGGTTTTCCGCTTTCTCTTTAAAAAGGTCAGTGTGCATCAAACAGTATCCATAAGTTGCACATGGCTATCACTGCTATTGTTTATTTACTCTAACTAACTTGAAATATAGCATGCATAAGAGATACATGTGCTTAAGATAATATTTTCCAGTAAAGTCCATTCGGAAAGTCTGGGTTGTTTCCGGTTCATTCAATGTACAGAGATGATTGTGTTAATTTTTTACTACAAGGACCTACAGGGAGGCCCAGTCAGCCGCTTATCTCTCTGCTCACTACATGTGGATTCATGACAGGATCACACAAGTAATGGGAGAATTGTGAATTCTGCTAGTTTTACTAAGATTCACACTATTTGCAAAGGTTAGTTTGACACAAACCCTTAGTTCCTGTCACCTGGTAAACAGCAGTTTCAGATTAGTCCAACTACAATAAAGGAAGGTCTTAGTGGTAAAGATTTAACCAACCTCTATCATCAATGGGAGCTGCACACAACAATTTCAAAAACAAAAGCACTGCATCAGGACTGTGGATTGCACCTTACAATGTAATGGCGTGTAATCTGTCCTTTCTATCTTTTTAGATAGATAGATAGATAGATAGATCGATCTATAGGACTATTGACTTAGATATACTTTATTTATCCCCTAGGGGAAATCCATGTGTCCAGTAACTCATTAGTAATAATAATAATAATAATAGCTAATAATAAACAATAATAATTAAATTAGTCCACTTCCTTTGGCTGAGGTGTTCTACAGCCTGATGGCAGTGGGAACAAAGGATCGAGACGTTTGCTGCAGCAGTAGCTGCCTCTCTGTACTTGCCAGAATGTTGTGGAGAGAGTCATTTATTTTGGATCATTCCCTCTGTTTCTGATTTCCTTAGAAGTTTGTCGAAAAACTTCTACTGTCTTACTCTAATTCTCTGTCTTACTCTCATTGTCTCACTTACTGCAACACTAGTCACCATCAGCTGTTGGCTTTTTAAACTAAATGTGATTTAGCCTGCTACTAGCTGTGGATGTGATATATTTCCCTTGTATAAGAATGTAACACTGGAATGGAATGGGAATGTTGTGTGGGAAGTTTCTAAATTGTCCCTCAGATCATTCAGGAATGTAATTATTTTGTGACCGATCAATCTGCATCTTTTAACAATTTGTTGTTCACACAGTTCAAATAATACATAATCAACTTCAATTCATGTCGTCTCTTATTATTTGTGTGATTCTACCTTAAATGCATGCACAATGCATTTTGGCCACACGTCTTTAATGGCAGAGAGAGGAGAGACGTCGGCTATCAGCCGACTAGGTCTATGCCTAACACAGACTGAGCCAGTTAGCTGATGAATGCAAGCAAAACATTTCAGTGGCCATTCAGTGTCTAACCAGCTTGGGCTTATTCACTTTACTGGAGGCAGAGAGAAGGCAGCTCAACTGGGGATTTGAGCTGTTTCACCTGTTGTTAGTTGACTTTCAATTTATGTGCTCAGAATATAAACCTCTTGAACTCTTGAAAACGAGATACATAACAACGAGCTACTTAAAATAGGGCAGAAACAGCATAGTAGAACAAGGCAAACAGCGAGAGACTGGCCACAGAGAGATGACCAGAATGAAACCAGCCATATACTAAGTTTTGACCTAGTCTTGTTCCTGAACTTGCAATCAGTTAATGAGATTGATAAACAGCATCCCTCATGGTGAACATGATTGACTCCAATGTTGGATTATGACTCCTCCTCACCTGATACCTCTCCTGGCATGCCCGGCCTGCCAATGTTGGACAGCAGATGGTCAATGTTGGGCACAGGCTGCATGTCCTGCTTATCCTCTGGAGCCTTCATAATATATTATAATAACACACACACACACACACACAGATGAGGATATCTGAGTTCAAACAATTGTAAAAATTGTAGTCATGATATGCCAAAATAACATACCTTCTCTTCCTTATCAAGTTCTCCATTACTGAAGAACCAGTCATACTGTTGGAGCAACAAAACACAGTATTACATACTCTCAATACAAAATACATGCCTGGAATTTCTTGCACTAAAAGATGCTGGTTCTTACATGCAGGATAAGAGTCTCCACGATTTTGTAGCGGTCAGGCATGTGAGTAACCATGTCAGTCATGTTGTCCTCTGACGTCCTCACCAAAGTGGGACCAAACACCAGGGCTAAGTTTCTTGGCTCCATCTGAAAATGCAGTAGTATCAAAATGATTTCATGTCTGTCCACAATTGTGTTTGAATTCAAAAACCAAACTGCTAATTAGAGAGGGTTAGGTTACCTTATTCTTTTCAGAGTGATCTGCCACCCTTTTGAGATGGCCCACCAGGAACTTGAGGGTGTGGTAATAGTGATCTGGGAGGTCATGGAGCTGGATAATAAAGAAAGAGAAGCAAGAAATGGATGGAGCAAAGAAGATTTCGAACTGAAATAAAGAGAATCCAGGACCAACATATTCATTGCTCTGTATTCTGCTGCCCATTTGACATCTACCAGTTTCTTCATCGTCTTCAGTCTGTCCTCTGCATCTTCTATCCGGTTGGCATCAATGAAATCATTGTACTTGTCTGTTGGCAGAGGATGTGCATGTGACTAATTTAGCATTAAGTACAGTTTCTACATGCAAACAACATGCAACATCTTTAGTTGACATCTGCTTTTTGAAGAAAAAGAAAGCTTTTTCTTTGTATCCAAAATGAGGAAATAATCCAGTGACCACTATTTTTTATATCATACACTATACATATTTATTATGATAATAAAAGACTATACAACAAACCGACAACTGGCCTCACCATCAGTAAACAGAGGCTCAGGCAGTTTTCGGAAGAATGATTTAAGCAGGCTGCTGATTACGTTCAGGTCCTGCCATCTCTGCGGGGACAGACAGGGGGGATGTTTAAAACTACAGCCTTTGTCAGTTATAACTGAAGTTAAGACATACAAGACAATTCATTGTTTTAGGAACTGGGTAATTAAGTCAAACAAATTTCCGTTTATTTAATGTCCTCTGCACCTCTTCAGCAGTGTTGATGTCCATGCCTTTGTTGAGATGCTCCTGAAGGTTGGACACCATGGCGTTATTCCCAGGCACCCGGTAGATGCCTGTGTACTCCAGACCTGTCGCCTCCACCACGCCACAGCACATCTCCACTATCAGTGGGACAAACTGTGGAGAGAGAGTAAAACAAGGCCAGAGGTGTGGTTGATAAGCAGGAAGAAAGGGACACATATGGAGGCAAAGGAGAAGTAAGGATGGAGATATGAAGGAGACAATAAAGATCAGAGGTCAGAGGTTTGACTGTGTTGTTCCTTTACTACTTTCAGCCAGCCTACAGAAACATCAGTCTGATGAATCTAATTGACTAAACGGCCCCAAGGTGTTTAATAGCATCTAAATGTCCACACCGTACTGTACATCAGATCATATTTAGATAGTAACACTAAACAGCAGCATTCATTTCAAACTGCCTTTTGTCAAACTTGGTTGAATTTCATTACAAAATAATGTTTTTCAAATTAATTTATCTTCATCAAATGACAATATACTGTTGGGGTAAGATTAATGTGAAATGTCAGATTGAGATGTGAGAATCAAATTTGGCTATCCTTTAAAAGAAACATTCAACATTTTGGGAAACAGACATACGCTTTTTTTTCAAAGTTTACTTAGAAGATTGATAGCAATCTCGCATGTGTGTTTTGCCTACAGTGCTGGAGATAGGATGTGGCATTTCTCTGTTACTATGATTACATTAGCATAGCAGGCCATGTTCTAAATCAATCATGAGGACCGTTGTATGCAAATGATGGACTGGCCAAAAACTGAAATTTAAACTGATGAGAAAACTCACATTAATTAATTGAATTTCAGTTTCTTCACATCACTTGTATTAATAACAAATAAGAGAAAATACAAATAGCGCAGCTTATTCCAAGTATGTCTTGGTGCAATACACAGTATAACTCGAAAGGATGAATATGGAAAACGAAGAGGAAACTTTGAACCCTATCAACTACGTTGTTAGACTTATCATTTTATCCACAGTTAGTAATTCAGACAAAGAAGAATTCATGTTATGGTTTTAATGTTATTAATGTTACTAAATCATGTGCTATGAATCATGTTGTAGGCGCAGTTGTCCATTTCTGGTCTCATTATTAAACACTACTGGTTTACTTTATGGTTGATAGCAGGCTGACAATCCTCCAGTCGCACACCAAAAGCCTTTGGACTGCCTGTTTTCTTGGCTTTCTTCATGATGTTGATTCCCCACAGTGCCTTGTTATCATCTGAGTACACACACACACACACACACACACACACCAAACACACAGAATTTAGACACACATTTAAATTTAATATTGATATCCATGTGGAAAAATAGTATAGACTAAGTAACTGCTCCTAACGTGGTTGAAGGTGAATATTTGTTTTGCTTCACAAATTTTAATGATAAAGCAAAGAAGACATTGTGACGACAGGAAAATAATTCATCCTCCATTCCCTGAAATTAAAGGTTTACTGTTCACAATGTCTTGTACACCAGACTATTGGACAAATGAAAATTGTGAGCTCATGGTGACAGTGAAATCAGGGTATTCTTAAAACAAATAGAATTCATCCTCAGGGATCACAAAAATAAAACCTTCCATGTGGTAACAAGGACTGTTTTATTTCATATAAGAACACATTTTTATGTCTGTTCAGGTGGTTAGTCAGTGTTCATCAGACAGAAACTATAGTGTAGATCATTTCCTAATGTTTATTTATACATTAAAAAAAAAAGGTCACACACAAATAAAACACAAATAATGAAATTTGTTTTGCAGAAAACAGAACTTGTTCAAGTCATAGATTACCACCTTTGAATAAGCTCTAAAAATACAGTCCTTGGTTTTAATAGTGAGTTGTTGCCTACTTCCAGTTATTACATGATTACATACATTAATATATAAATTATTTATCATTAAATTTAGTATTTCAATTTAACATGTTAACATTGTTAACATCATATGTGAAGTAGCAGGGTGATGTCTGATGGGAATGTCACTAGTTTTGCAGGTATTTGGTCATTAACCAAAGTATTGTTAGAGGGTCATGAATCATGAATGTCTTCACAGAATTTCATGAAAACCATCCAATAGTTGTTCAGAGATTTCAGTCTGGACCAAAGTAATGAACCGACCTACAGCCACGATGCTAGCATGACCAAAAAGCAACATTAAGCAAAGTGTGTCAACTTTGCTTGCTTTTAACCCGCAGTTAGTAGTTTGTTGTATGTTGGTGAGCACTGAGAGGCACCTTGTTTGTACCCACCAGTTCTGGAGGCGCGGTTAACTGACGTGTTGTCAGTCTTAGCCAGGAGGAAGGGCATCATACGGTGGACTCTGGGAGAGGAATCCGGCTTGTTACCTGTCAGACTGTACCAAGAGAGAAACAAAGATGGTCGAAAATGAAATGAAATGAAATGTGTTGTGATTAAAGGTTATTCTTTGAAAATGGGGTTTCAAAGGGAATTCAGGAAGGCACTGTGCATTCTTCTTCAGGTCTCAATATTTTAATAAGTCTCTGTAGGATTACCTCAGTTTTATGTGAAAAAAACATAACATACACTGCAGTTTAAGTTATTGTTTCAGACAAGCTCATAGGCCAGAGCTACAGCGACTCCTGATTACACAAAGGGTAGGGGACAGACTTTAATAGGAATGGAGCACAGAAAAGACGCGTTTCCATGGCCGCATATAATCCACCATTCTGACCTGTGTTTTCTGTAATCATTCAGCTTCTTGTTGATGAGAGCTTGTCTTGAGAAACCAATCTCCTAGAGCAAATGAAAGGTATGTATTAGTTCAGGATGAGTGTGTTTGTGTAAACTGTTTAGACTAACTAGGAATGAAGTTCTAACCTCATTGTCAGTCTTGCTGTTCTCTCTGATAACCCTGATCCAAGCCAGCATGTCGTCCCTGTCCTCGGCCTGCAGCAGGTATTCACAGAAGTCTTGCGTGGTGAGCCTCAGGGTGTGCTTACGCTTGGTTTCACTGTAGGCGATGTCGATCAGGCAGCTGCGGATGCTGACCGGGGGATGCTCGTCCTGGCTGGGCCCTGCCCCTGCCCCATGAAGGACTGCCTCTCGCTTGTCCTTGTAGAGGAAGAGCAAATTGGAACGGAGCACAGAAAAGACACGTTTCCATGGCCGCATGCCACCACCAACTTTCTACAAGAAGAAGAGACAGAAACAGCAACAGGATCATAAACTTTAATATAAAATAAAAAAAACTCCAGTGTGAATTACTGGATCAATCGGGGCAACTGCCTATTGTTATTAACTCTTCCCTAAATCCCTCACCCAAATATAAAACTGTCCTATCATAGTAATGGTAGAAAATGTAACTTGATATGGCAGGTCTGTCAAGGTTTGGATTTTTCCACATGGCAAACCGGTGTGCACTGGATTTTAATAACATCAGCAGGTCTCCAAGTCATTTATTCCTTACACTGTAAGGAATAATTGTACATTGTAGTACAGTGTAGTACAGTGTTGTAAGCCTTACAGTATTTAAGCCTACAACACTGTACTACAATACCTGGGCTAACTATCTCCTACTTGCAGCATTTTCATTACATAGCACTGAGTTAGTAAGATTTTATTTTAGTCAACCAACTTATCTATAATAGATTAATATATGTGAATATAGAATATATAGAGTTCATGTACACATTCTGTGTACATATACAGGCTCTGACCTCATCCCTCGCCACACGGAAACACCCGCTCACCACAAAAGGGAGTAGGGAGTGACTGTAATAACCCCCACCAATTGGGAACGTAGGCTCAGAGCCTATGGGTGGATGCTGGGAGGTGGGGCTTTTTGAATTGCTATATGAATGGCACCAGCAGTCACGTAGCTGTCAGGTGAGCAGTGTGACAGCACCAAGCAGACAGCAATAACAGCTTAAGTGCATTGCCATCATCAGAAGGGTGCATTAAATATATACTGCAGTAAGAGTTGGCCATGTGTGTGTAGCTGCAGACTTGAGATAACTGCCTAGCTCGCAAATTTCCCTTCATGTATGTTGCCATCAAATTGTGATTTTCATACGAGTTAGCTGGAGACATCAGCCAGAGACAGAGTTTTAGTCCAACTCATGATGTTAATGTTAATCAGCCAACATTAGCCCTCTACAGCTGATAAACAATGCTGGTAATAGTGGACAGTCACTGGTAAAAATTAAAAATTTTCTTTTCTCTACTTCTGTCTGACGTGAAGGAACAATTGTTTCATAAAAAATTTACATGAATTTGAAGTGGTAAATCTGCTGTTATCACTGCCAGTTTGGAAAGCATGACAGGCATGGCAACAGCAGCTTAGGGTGGTGGTACTTGGCGAAGGGCCTATGGACTTGCAGTGTGTGTACATGCAGGGTATTGTACCTTTCCCTTCTCTGTGAGGATCTGTTTGTAGTGTAGCCATCCCTCCTTGCGAACATCACTGAAAGTGATGGTCCCCAGTTCAGAAGTGGAGTGGCGCTTAGACTGGGCCTCCTCCTGAGCTCGCAGGCTCTCCAGGGACTGAAACACAATGTAGGGATATTAAGGTATTCAAAGTGGACACTGTTTACTTGTTTGCTGGAAAGTCAACAAAACAGAAATAGAAAGTAAGTATAGGTACAGTACAGAACATTGAAAATACAGGCCAACATTAATGCAACAAAAGTCAGTTACCTGTGATCACTTAAACAAAAGTGATTGATACAATTGTGATTTCCAACCAAGACTAATTTCATGAACCATGTCTGATGCAACATGGCTCCACATGACTGATCATACAAAGTAAAAGACACTGCACAAAGTCAACCTCCACAAACAGCATCGAGGGAGAAAACCATTGCTCACAAATTGACACAAAACTGCAGACTAAACTTTTCCAAAGACATGAAAAGAGGCCTGATGAATGTTGGCAGCACATATTGTTCAGATGAAACCAAAATGAATTAGTCTGAATCTGATGTGGTGCAGCATGTTTGGTGTGGACCTGGCCAGGACTACCACAGTGACTGCACAGTGCTGACGTGCCGAAACATGGAGGTGGGAGTGTGCTGATATGGGGCTGCATGAGTGCACAAGGTCTAGGTGAGATGACATTTATAGATGGCACTATGAATGCAGGTATATACCCAAATACTTAATGAAAAGTCGACTCCCACTCTGAAGAAGACATGACAATGATCCCAAAAACAATCTGTAAAGAGGAATTCAGAGAAAAATATGACCAAGTCTGCCCCCTGACTTGATTCCAATAAAGGTTTTAAAGCAGAGAGTCGAGCAAAAAAAAGAGCATTTCTCTGCAAATTTGTGGTAGACAGGTATCATCCATGTACATGAGGATTGAATCTGCCATCAAAAATGAGGGCAGGCAGATCTACAAAATATTGAAAAAATTAAAGAATGGAATCTTACTAATGAAGGTGCACTGATTTTTATTGAAGTGGAGCTTTCTATATAGTTCACCAATTCAAACAATTCTGGTTTTCAAATGAATTTGAATGAATGAATTCATTCTTCTTTGGCTTCAGCTAAAAGCAAATAAAAATGACTAACATGGACAGAATTTGTAATTACTTAACATTTTAATGATATTCACCAGGAGTGTACCCAATTTAGCTGTAAGATGTACATGTGGTCAAGTCTAATAATTACAACAACTCACCCCATCAGTGAAAAAACTCTTGACCCTTTTTGGTAGTTTGCTGTGGAATAGAAAGAACACAAGTTACAACTACAGTATGTCTAGAGTGCAGACAGTGTCTGTGTTTGCAGAGATGATTACTGTGTCACTATTCAAAGAAGAACTAAGAAAAGCCAAGAAGTGAAAGAGACTTTACATTAATAATCTTAATGAAGCTACATCTACTGTGAAGTAAATCCACTTATAAATGATGTTCGTCAATGTAATGTAATATTGGGGTATGTAATGTATACAAGTATATTTCTGAGACTATATCAGGATGGGTGTCTGCGGGTCTACTGTCTGTTGGATCTCTGACTCATCTGTCTGATCGGCCCCAGTTTGTTCAGCTGGGGAGTTCCTTCTTTGATGTGGGTTTTCATAACACAGGAGCCTGTTCTGTTCCCATTTCTGTTCACTCGTAAACCTCAGATTTGAAGTACAACTCTAACTCTTGACACTTGCAGAAGTTCTCGGACGACTCTGCAGTGGTGGGGTATATTAAAGATGGGCAGTAGTTGGAGTATAGGGAACCAGCGGCTAACTTTGTGGAGTGGAGCAGCGGAAGCATCTGCTCCTCAATGTGGACAAAAAGAAGGAAATGGTGGTTGACTTTAGTCATGCAGCTAGTGCAGGCATGTTAGCAAAGTCAGGGACCTAGGTGTACAAATCCCTGGCATGTAATGAATGCAGCTTGTCTGAGTGTCGTCTAAGTTCTTAACTTACGAGAAGACACGACCTTCTTCCCTGAAGGTGTTGAGCCCCTCATCACAGGACTTGGATCTCTCGGTGGTGATGGCCAGCAGGTAAGAGGAGCGACGACCTTTAATACTGCCTGAAGAGACAAAAGACAAGTCAGAGAAGAAAAGAAAGGAGAATGACACAGAGGGTTAAAAACATGCAATGTATGGTAGTGATGTGAACAGACATGAAGATGAGTGATTGATTTGCTGTTTCAAACTGTGAGTGACTAATATAACATATAACATGGAGTTGTGTTGACTGGCAGTGAGGTTTGGCAGTATTTATTCAAACATACTGAAGAACATACTGTAATATTGGTTTAGCCCTGCCTAAAGCCTTTCAAAATTTAGATTGGGTGAGTGAGACTCACTGCAGTCCTGAGAATGAAGTCGGACAAACAAGGAGAAGGAGGAGAGGATGGGGGAGACAGAGGTGAAGGTGAGGGTGGCCATAGTGGAGGTCTGTGAACTGGACACCACAGAGCAGGCTGGTACATAGCAGACCTGTAGGTCAGTACTAGGACTGGTAGGTTCATCTGCAAGGCCATCATCACAGGAGGTGACAAGAGGGTGAGAGATGAGGGATTAAACACTGACAAGACAAAACAGAGTTTCCTAAGATCTACCTTGGAGGCTATCTATCTATCTATCTATCTATCTATCTATCTATCTATCTATCTATCTATCTATCTATCTATCTATCTATCTATCTATCTATCTGTCTACCTGTCTATCTGTCTGTCTGTCTGTCTGTCTGTCTGTCTGTCTGTCTGTCTGTCTATGTGTCCTAGTGAGGTACATATGGTCAGTGAGCTTCCTGTTTGACTTCTGTGATAAAACCATTCAAATTCTGCACTCACATCAAATCCTAAAGACCATGATTGTGAGCATCTGACAGTGAAAAATTGTCAATCAATCAGTCAGCTCAGAGATACTACATATTTCTAACAGCTACGGTATCTCTCACATGGTAAGAACAACTATAGAAAAAGGGGAGACAAAATGGCTGAAAACTCATATACTACATATACTGTACATTAAAACCCAATATTTACAATATTACAGTATCGCTGCCAATTGCTGCAACCATGTGGGTGCAGGAATAGACGCTGGGATCTGGTGTATTGCTAGCAAGCAGAGTCAGGGACCTAGGCGTATCAATAGCTGGCATCGTAGAGTCTAGTGATACGGAATGCCACTTCTCTGTTGAGGAAGGAAGTTGGTGCAGGAGGTGAGCAGGAACAACTAGATATAATTGAGCTGACCTCCACACACAGCACTGATTCTGGAGCCAACTTGTGGAGAGGGGCTGGATTCCTTTTCAAGAGTTGACCAGGGTGACAGGCACTGGGCAAGTGTTGGGGTATTGATTGATGTTTCTGCCTATGCACTAAACAGCAGTTCAGAGTATCCAGCCTTTTTCTCTGGGTGGGGTTCTGGAAAGCATACTAGTTAGGGACTAGTTCTGTTGGGGGACTTCAGCGCTCACAAACAAATGATTCTTGGTACAAGAACATCTTAGGCCAAAGATCAATGATCGATATGAGAGTGTCTGGTTTTTGAACCTCAGTGCTTCTCTGTTCAGTGAACTGTCTCACTAATGTCAGTTCCACATCAATAAAGTTTCCTCACAATAGCGTTCATTACATTCAGTGCATATACATAAACCCGACCAAGTAAGGGTATAGCAGCACAAGCTCTGTGTGTTCTGAAAGAGTTAAATTTTCATTTCTTAGACGAACTACTGTATATGTTATTTTTACAAATGACAAAATGTTTTGAGTGACATTCCTACCCAGATAGTTACAGTTCAGTTTGAACTTGCCTACATATTTTCTGTTTGTAGCAATATTGGTAGACCTCATCAGTTCTCCCATACTCCTTACCTTTCTCACCAGGCCTCAGTCTACTCTGATGTTAGCCTGCAAAACTGATATTATTTGGCCTGTTGGCTGAGCCTATAAAATTATTACTGTCTCCAGAGCAGCTGTTTCTGAGAAATTTGCATAACTAAAACAGTATAAAAATAATGGACAGATAAAGGTCTACAGAAAGACCAGATCAATCAGCGCTCATCAACACAATTTAAAACACCAGTTGGAAACACCAAACTGTTTGAAAACTAAATGTTCTGAGGGTACAATTATTATGTTGACATGTATATAACATACACCGACAGGTATGAACACAAAAAGGTGTAAAGGATAGAAACACTGAAAGAAAACATTTCTAAATGTTCACATAAATTAAGTGAAATGTTGAAGAGCTCTGTAGCAACAAACAACATATTAATACATACAAAATAAAACTATACTAAACGTGCCTGTTATGACTGCAAATGACACAAATATGTGTTTTGTGTAATTTTGAGAAAATGCAATCTCATCTGCAGGAAGACATTTTTGACTTTTACAGCACTTATAACAATAAATGTAAATTGTCTTATACTCCACTGCATTATCAGGCCATTTTGAGGTAGCTGTAAAAAGTCAGTTGCTACAGAGGAAAGCTCACTTACCTATGAAGGGAATAGAGGACAAAGAGTCATATGCATGCTGTGCCAGGCTACCATTGGTCCTGCGGTTGGAGCTAGGCCCCACAGAGATAGGAGAGAGGGTCCCTGGTGAAGGTGTCAAACCAGGGGGCTTGGGTGACTCCATATCTGTTGTGTAGTGGGGATGTCGAAGAGCATGAACGGGAGTCTGGCAGCCTGAAGGAGGCTTCTGCCTAAGGACCACATCTTGATTCAGTGAGATAGGAGAGATGACCACCCTGTCCTCTCCCAGGTGGGCTCTCTCCTCTTCTGACACAGACAGGGCTGGCGTGGACTGTGGCCTGGGTACCAACCTCCCCTCGCTGTCTGCAAGGCTGCTCCTGCGGCTGGGGCTCCAGTAGAGGTGGGGGCCGCTGTAGCTAGGCTCTCTGAAGGAGTGGGCCTGCTGGAGGAGGTGACCAGCTTTGTGGGAGAAAGTAGGACTGTAGCTTTTGTAGCTCACCAGCTCTTCCTCTTTTACACGTCTTGTTTGGGGTTCAGCTACCTGCTGACCTGACTGCCTGCCACTGGGAGGCACTGTGGAGGAAGTTGTGATGGGGGATGTCATTGTTTGGTGCTGATGCCCTGAGGCTTTCTGGTCTATCTGCTTGCTGGGTTTTGTTGTTGTCGTTTGGGAGTTTTGTGAATTGTGTTCATAGCATGGTAAGACCAGAGCAGAGGCTTGTGCCAGTGTTTCAACAGAACGCCCATAGTTGTGCTCGTATTCAGCGTAGGCTGCCAGTAGGCTGTCTGAGCACGACCTGCTTCCTGGTCCTGACACACCACCCCAACCACCTAGCCAATAGGAATCATGGGAAGCAGCAGCTGCCTGGTGGTGGTAGAGAAGGGTTTCTCTTCTCCGTTGCTCTGACGACGCTGTGGGGGCAGACATAGGTCCTGGGCCGAGCGCCAACCCCAGCCCCAGCTCTGTTAAACGTTCCTGAGAAATACTGCGGTGGCGTGGAGACATGCGCTCTGCAGCTTCAGCCTGGCTGTAGTACCACTCTGACAGAGCCTGGTGGCAGAGGGTGTCGGCATGGGCACGGGCAGAAGCCGGTAGGCTGCTTTTCCTTGGCGGAGGCAGTGTTGCAGAGGCAATGGCAGCATTGTGGTTAGAAAAGTGAAAGTCCAGCACATTGATGGCTGAAGAGGAGCGGCCACGGTGCTGTCCCAATGGGGTAAAGTGGCCTCTGGAATCCTCAGGACCCCCAGGCCAGCCGGATGTGAGGGTAGAAGCAGCAGACTGGTGGTTATCCAGTTGCGAGGTGGTGGGGCCAGATCGGCACTGCCAGTTGTCTAGGAGACTGTGGAGGTTGTGGCTGGGCTGGGGGGCTGTGGAGCTGGGCTTTGTGGAAGGGTAAGAGAGAGGCGGAGGCTCAGGGAGGTTCTGGGCCTCACCTGAATAAGGCTTGTTGCCTTTCAGGTAGGCATCCTGGGAGTATGCCTGAGGACAGGAGGGGTTAGGGCACAATGTAAAAAGGACAGAAAGGATAAAAGAACAGAGGTGGCAGGAACAGCTAGAGGGCAGATTGAGGCAGATAGAGCATGCACCATGTAACATTGTTTTTCTTTTTGTCCATAAAAGCTTAATCCTTATTGTACAACCAACACTGGAACTTTATTTCCTTTAATAAAGTTAAGGCAGTTATTACTGCATTGCAAGTGTATTACTTGTGTTCAATTTTTTGTCTGTTTTTATTTACCAAATACACATCTGTGAAATCCTTCATTAACTGCGGCAGCACATGTTTTCTATATGTTGAAATGACCCTGTGGTCTGGTTTATGCTGGACAAACAAAAAGAGCTTTAAAGAGTTGCATATCTGAATATAAGACTGCAATACATACACAAAACATGGATTATGCTGTTGGCTGACATTATGCACAGGTTAACAATGGCTCTGCAGCATCATTTAAGATCTCACCCTCTCCCATAGGTAAGGATATTAACTCACTGCCCTCCAGAGAGGCTTATTGGATTCACACACTGCATACAGCGGAACCCTTTGCCATAAATACTGAATTTGTCAGGTTCCCACTAATTTGTCACACTCAGTGACTCAGTCTGTATTTGTACTCTTTGTACTTTTATCTTTGGAACTTTAAGAGGTGACTGTGTCTTCTGTCTTGTTTCTGTCATGGTGTTAGCTCTCTGGCATAAATTAATTACGTAATTTGTCACTCTTTCTCTAAATTGTCACACTTGACAGATGTTTGTACTTGTACTTTTTGTACTTTTTATCCTCGTAAGGTGAGGTCTGTGTTCTGTTCTTGACATGGTGAGCAGGGGCACTTGGACAGTTGTGCCACTGAGACAGTAACTAGGGTAACTCATACCCCTTGGATTCATTATCTAATAGATAAGAAACCCTGTTCAACCAATTATCCAATGACAATTGTACACCTGGTTTAGGTTGACTATAATTGTTTGCCTCGTGTCATTGTCCACTTTCACTGATGAAGACACAGCAGTATCAAAACATTAGGCAGGTTGCACAATTAAAGGCTGTGAATTACGCTGTGCCTCTTGTCCTCTGGAAGTCTACCGCCATCGAGCTGAAAAAACACCTGGTTCAGCTGTATTTTGCTGGAAGAGGCTGTATTTATTATTATTATTTGATTACACAATAGTTGTTAGGAGACATTAAGTGTTGGTTTGGCTCTGCACATGAGATTTGTGGACTATAAAGGAAATATGTCCCCAACCTTATCCTTTAAAAGGTTGAATATAAGGTACTATTTAAGCTGACCAGAAAACTGTTAACCAACATTTGCATATATTAATTATTGGCTTGTGTATTAAAATAAAAAATAAAATAAAACCCCATTGTTTTTAATTTTATTGAGCTCTGTGTTGGTTGTTGCGTCGCCTCCCTTTAAGCATTCCTTTGAAACCATCTTTATGAACTAATTTGAATGTTTTCCCATTGATAATGGTAGAGTTCTTTTTTGTCCATGCATATTTCAAAATTTCTGAGATAAACTTCAATAAATGGATTATAACAGAGATACACAGCCCTTGCTATTACTTAAAAAGCCTAGATAACTGTTTTATAATTTATCAAGGTGAAAGAAGGAAAGAAGAGAAAATAGAAGAAAGATCATACTCACACTTACCAACTGCAACACATCCTCATCTTTTGGCATAATTGAGAGCTCCAGAATGTTTTCACTGTAAAAAAAAGAAAAAGAAAAAAGAAAGATAAAAAAAAACAAAACATGTAAGTACAAAATGAATAAGAGGTCAAATATGGGATTTATAAACACAAGTCTCCCACCTGTTTTGGATAAGTGCGATCACCTGAGAGTAGGTTTTCCCAAGAATGCTTTCCCCATTCACCTTCACCAACCTGTCCCCTGTGAGCACACACATGCACACACACACACACACACACACACACACACACACACACACACACACAAAATGCCAAAGGTTCTGTAATCATGCTTTCCATGTATGAAAAAACTTTAAATACTGAGTTAATCATTTGAATTCCCTAAACCTACTCTTCCAAAAGAGCACTTTCCTTTATTGATGTTCACTTCTAGTCTTTTTAGAAAAAGAGCAGTGAAAGACCATCAGCATTTGAGGTTGAGGAACATTTTATCCAGTTTTTCTCCCAAAAAAATCTTATCCACTAACAACTTACATTACTGACAACCATTTCCTAATTCATCTCCTTGGCTTCAGTTCCTTTTATTACATTATCAAAATCAACTGGCAGAGGTTTGAAACTTGCTCAGCATAACCAATGCATTATAATGAAACACATGTCCCCTAGAAGCTGTTCATCACTCGTAGCTAGTAGTTCTGACCAAAAATGAACAACCTTTTCTACTAATACTTTTGAGTTTGATACAAATCAAATGTACATATAATATAATTGCCATATACTTGCACGTTTTTCAGCCCTGCAACCCCCACTGAGCTAAACAGATTCAAAAAAGGACTCAAAAGGTCCCCAGCTGCATTACTGGGGAAGGTTGAGACACGCTCAACTTTATGTAAATATCCTGACACAGCGTGACATCTGCGATAGCCCATTGTGATCATGTTGATTTCATTCAGTGCAACCCGTGCAGTAGAGATGGCTAAGGTTTTTGGAGATGATAACACGGCTTAGAATTTTGAAACGGTCTCTCTTTCCTATTGCACAATGACACAAAGATTTTTGTCATTCACAATCATGTCGAAGGAATGCTAAAACAACTTCTCCCATGTTAGCCAGCTTCTCATCTAGATAGATAGATAGATAGATAGATAGATAGATAGATAGATAGATAGATAGATAGATAGATAGATAGATAGATAGATAGATAGACAGATAGATAGATAGATACTTTATTTATCCCCTAGGGGAAATTCATGTGCCCATTAGCTCATTGTTGATAATAATAGTAATAATAATAATAATAATAATAATAATAATAATAATAATAATAATAATAATAATAATAATAATAATAATAATAAAAACAGTTAATAATAAATAAACAATAATAATTAGATTAGTCCATATCCTTTGGCTGAGGTGTTGTATAGCCTGATGGCAGTGGGAATAAAGGATCTCCTGAACCTCTCTGTTTTGCAGCGCAGTGAGATGAGATTCTCTGTCCTTCCAGAATGTTGTGGTTGGTATTGTCCAAGATGGCCTCTATCTTACATTGCATGTGTCTCTCCACAACAGTCCTGAGTGACGCCAAACTCCTCTCAAGCACAGACCCAGCCTTTTTTTACCAGCTTGTCCAGTCTCTTTGTGTTCATGTCAGACATGCTGCTGCCCCAGCAGACTGCAGCATAAAAAAGTACACTGGCCACCACTGACTGATAAACATGTGCAGTATTTCACTGCAGACGTCAAAGAACCTGAGTCTCCTGAGGAAAAAGAGCTGGCTCTGCCCCTTCCGGTAGATGGCATCCATGTTCAGAGACCAATCTAGTTTACTGTCCAGGTGCACACCTAGGTATTTATAAGTGTGCAACACCTCACTGTCCTTCCCTCGAATGTTGACTGGCTGAAGGGGGGGCCTGGACCTCCGAAAGTAAAAGACTATCTCCTTGGTCTTGGAGATATTCATAAAGAGGCAGTTCTTGTCGCTCCATTCACCGAAGGCCATCGTCAGATCTCTCTAATCCTCTTCCTGCCTGTTCCTGATATGCGCCACATTAGCTGTGTCATCTGAGTATTTCTGGATGTGGCAGGACTCAGAGTTGTATTTAAAGTCCGCCGTATACAGGGGTGAACAGAAACAGAGCCAGAACAGTCCCCTGTGGAGCCCCAGTGCTGATCATGACTGTCCCTGAGAAACAGTTACCCAGCCTGACGTACTGTGGTGGTCTCGTCAGGTAATCCACAATCCAGGACATAAAGCAGGGATCCACCCCAATCCCTTCCAGCTTGTCTTTAAGAATGGGGGGTTGGATGGTGTTAAATGCACATTAGAAATAAAAGAACATAATCCTCATGTAACTACCAGGCTCATCCAAGTAAGAATGGGCCCAGTGGAGCATGTAGAGGACAGCATCATCCACTCCAACATGTTCTTTGTAGGCGAACTTTAGGGGGTCTAGTTGCATGTTCAACCTGTGGCCTCAGAAGGTGGAGAAGCAGCCGCTCCAGAGTCTTCATGATGTGTGATGTGAGGGCCACCGGTCTGTAGTCATTTATCTCAGCAGGTCACCCTACTTTAAGTACCGGAACAAGACATGATGTTTTCCACTGGACCAGGACCCTCCCTGTTTGTAGACTTAAGTTGAAGATCCTCTGGAGAGGCTCAGCCAGCTGGGCTGCACAGTCCTTTAACAGCCTCGGACACACACCATACGGGCCTGTTGCCTTTCCGGGGCATAGCCTCTTGAGCTCCGCCCTCACCTCCTCTGCTGAAAAGGACAGGAGACTTGACCCCAGTGTGGAGGAAGTTGTAGCTGCAGTGTCAGGTTGTTGAGGAGATGCTGTAGGAGAAGCTGCAGCTGAAGCAGTGGGAGAGAGAACAGGTGAGGCTGTGTCAAACCTGTTGTAGAACAGGTTGAACTCATTGGCCTTGTCCACATCACCTGATGTTGCCTGGCTGTTCTTCTCTTTATAGCCAGTGACGGTCCTCATCCCCTTCCATACCTCTCTGGTGTTGTTGTGCTGCAGCTTCCTCTCTACTTTCTTTTTGTAGTCCTCATTCACCTGCTTTAATCTCCTCTTCAGCTTATATTTCACACACCTGAGCTTCTCCCTGTCTCCATCTCTTGAGCCATTGACAGTTCACTTGAAGTGGGTGAGGAATTATTGAAATTGGTGTCTTTGCATAACACTAAAAGGGTGTGGATTTTTTTAACGCCATTAAATATGTTGTTGGTGTGAATGGGGGATTTTACAAGCTTCCAGCTGCTGTTACCGACAGCTCATCATCAATGCAAGGAAGACACACTGGATTCACCTGGCTCCTCCAACAAAGAGGCCTTGACTGTCCAATACTGTGCTCATCATACATCAGGTGTGTAATGTTTTCACATTATTATCATTATTATTATTACTATGAATCAGTTTTTATCTTTGGCTAAAAAATCCTCCAATCTCAATTGGGGGAACAGCAAAATTTATAGCCTTTTTGGATGAAGTGAGTACTGTTTAGGGGAGGTTTACAGATGCACACTGATATCACATAGATGAGCCATGGGAAGTGCTTGGAGAGGTTATTTGCGCAGTGCACTGAAATCCCAGTGTTTCTGGAGGACAACGTCCAATGTAATACAAGTGCTTACTGCAGTGAACTCTGGGATACAGATTTTTTCTTTGACATGGCCTTAAGTATTTGATTATGATAGAACGGAACAGTATCTTCTTACTTACACAATCTGGCCCTCTGGTAGTGAGGAAAAAAAATTTGTGGCCCTCTCTATCATGAAAGTTACCCTGCTTTAAGTTATATACTTGGGAGCCTAGATGAAGCATTTTAGACAAAAACTATGACAAATAATTCTTGCTGTTTATTGCTGTGAACACCCAGTAGTGTGTGTGTGTGTGTGTGTGTGTGTGTGTGTGTGTCTGTGTGTGTGCGTGTGTGTGTGTCTTCTACCTGTACAAAGTCCGGCTTGTTGGGCAGGGCCATTTTCTTTGACACTCTTCACAAAGATGGTGTCCATTGGCTCCAAACGAGACCACTGACAACATGCTTAAACACACACACACAGGCACATTCACATCCAAATTCAGAAAAAACTTTCCTAGATTGAGACTCTCAGCAAAACCTACAAAGTTGAATCAGCTCCATCTACATGTGCAAACAAAGGGTCCCCTTACACACACAGTATCAGCATTGTGCTTAATTTAACAGAATACAATAGATTCTAATTAGTCCCAAGGGTATGTAAATAAATGAAATGATTCATTCTACAAATCCAATGGCTAAACATCTGCGAACAATGTGTAACCAATTAAGTCAACAGGAAAATGAAACACTCACCAGTTCCGGTAGCATTTCCATTCTCTTCATCCTGTGCAAGAGACACCGAGCAGATGTTAAATTTTTTCTGTGCAAAGGAGGAGAGGACCACAGGGGGGCGCTTCTCACCTCACATTACACCCAACCCAGGTCTCCTTGACACCAGCTGACTTTGCTGCCACGACTGTAAATCAGTCGATTTACATTATGACTATCTGACTAACTCTCTAACTGTCTCATAAAGTGTCCTGTAAACTGTCCGTCTATCAGCCTGTCTGTCTGCCTGTGTCAGCTCATTCCTGACGTGGACACTCAAAGGGCACTTTGGATAAAGACTGAACTCTGCTGCCACACAGTGACCTCCGTCCAAGCCACAAATGCTACCATCCTGTCTACAGGAGCCATATTTGTGTGGAGCAGATGACTTGCAGGCTGATTGCAACACTTAAGCTGATACAGTTACCCCTGTATGATGTGTGTAGACTCTGATCTCTGATTCTTCTGACTGTTTTTTGACATAACAGCACAGACTGATTTTTCCATACATCATACACAGAACACAGACAGACATAAAAACTATGCTTAGAACTTTTCGGAACTTTAGAACTATGCTTAGAAGGTTTCGGTAACATTTTATTTGATCCTCAAGGTCATTTGTTGTTGTTGACAACAATCTACAAGATGTATCCAATTCCCAAATAATTTCCAATAACTACCCTGGACTATGCAATTTGGTGCTAATTACAGGGGAAATAGAGACAGTGTTCAGTTGGGACACTTACAGTTAATTCTGATTAATTGCCAGCAAAAGCAGAGAGTCTTGTAATCAATGTCCAGCAGGTCAGATGAGCATGCAAAAATGTGTCTATAGGCCAGCACACAATTCATGTGAATTATACATAAATAATAAATCAATATTTGCTTGGGTTTAAATGGAGCTTCTCTGTCAAATAAATTCCTATTTTCAGTATAATTTATACCAGTTACATGGTTCTCTGTTGAAACCTCCCTAGAACTTATTAGGAAAGGACAGACTGGCTCCAGGTCGAGGTCCCAAAGCAGAGAGCAAATCACTTACTTTGAGGCTGTGGAGGGAGGACTCTGGTGGGTAGACAATGAAGTGGCGCAGAGTAAAGCCGAATCCCTGTGAATTCTTCTGGAGTAAAATGGTACTTGGGCCCTGCCAGGACCCGCCCTCCACCTCACCCGATGATGGCGGCCAGCGCCTGTTCTCATTGGATGACACCACGCCATCTCTCAGCCCTTTAGCCTATTGAAAAGAGAAGATGGAGAAAATGTTTCAGTCAACATTGCTTAACTTTACTTTCCCTTTTGGAACATGGACAAAACTTTACCATGTGAATCATAAAGTACATCTCAAGTATCATTTTCAGGTGTCTCCACTGAACTTGTCTATGCGAGTGTGAATTTATCCACAGTTGAATAGATTTAAAGGAAGTCTGCAGGGGTGGGTGTCAGTGTGTGTGTTCCTTTCACTCAGGACTCTGCCCAGATTCGACCAGAGCAGAATTCCTTCAATGCCAGGAATTTCTCTGAGACTTCCTCTCTCCAAAAAGGAAGCTCTGTTTTCACCAACAACCTCAACTATAATCACATTTATTAACTGCATCCAACAATGGCAGAGTTAAAAATATATACCATCTATAAATAACAGTCATTAAACAACAGGAACTTATTAGGGCTCATAAACACAGATCGGGAAAATTAGATGAACAATAGACCTTCACAGAGAGAGACTAAAAACATCCACAAATAACTGTATGTGGTACAGGAGGTCCAACAAAGAAACACAGCGAGTGGACCTTCCAACAAAAGAAATGACTAACCTGCTAACCCACCTGATATTTAACCTTATGATGCAATACTGTGCAGGTCTGAAAAGATAGTCGATCAGCAAAGAAATGTGACTTCAGTGTTGTGCCTGAACTGAACCAAAAAGCTCTATTAGGAAAAAAAAGACTAGGCCGACACAGTATATGGACATAATCGTAATTACTTCAGACTTTAATTGTACAGCACTTTTCATACAGTGTAACACAAAGTGCTTTACAAAATAGAAGCAAACACACACACACACACACACACACACACACACACACACACACACACACACACAGAAGGAGACAGAGAGAGAGAGAGAGCACTAAGTGATAAAAAGAATAAAAAAAAAAATTAAGACAATAACAGGAAGTTAAGCAATGCTATCATGAATCTCATAAATTATAAACCTGAAATAATACTCCAGTTGTCGTTAGTGTGTTAAGTAATTCTTAAAAATCTGAGATAAAAGATGCCCATTGTTTGGGTGGTCTGTAAAGTGAGTGTGGTTGCTGTGCCGCCACCTTTTTTTACCTTTCCTGGAAGGAGTATGAAAAATTGTAGTTTGGTGGTGAGGCTTCAACAAGGGTAGCTTATTTCTATAGAGCGAGTTAGTTCTCAGTGGCAGTTACATTATACACTGTCTTGAAGGCATAATACACTGAAAGCTTGAAAAAGATTAAAGATCAAAAAGGCTTTTTTCCCACCAGACATAGCAGGTATAATACAGGTGTTGCAGCAGTGATAACTGTGTACATTGTTAGTTGGGTACATTGTTGTGCTAGATTCCTCATCATCTGACATCTCTGCAGGTGACATTTCATACAAGTTAATGGAAACAGAGGTAAGATGTTGTACATGTTTACCTACCCCTCCACATCTCTCTCTTTCACTCACACACTATCCTTACTAACCCACCCACTCAATGTGAAATGCCAACATGCTAGAGTATGTTTTATTGAACTGTGTGATTTTATTTGCCAGCTCTGTTTGTAAGTGTGCATACATGAACATTTATCTATGAGTTTAATTAATCAATACTGATATTGTCCTTGCATAAATAAAGGATTCCCCTTTGAACATTTTACAGTTTATGAATGAGAAATAGTATCAGTTTCACAGTTTCAGGGTATTGTTCATAATGCCTTACACTGAACAGAGCCAGAAGGCAGAATAAACAACACAGTACATACTATCACTTTAAAAAGTTTATAATTACATGTTTTCAGCCAGTTGTTTATTTACACATCCAGCAGAAAGACATTAGCTTTACCTTTCATTAAGAGTTCAACCAGTGAATGCAAGTCAAATATTCACTCCTCTTTTAGCTCTGTTTTGGTCTCCACCAACTCCTGAGAAAAAAGTCTGGCTCCTTAGCTGCTAAATGTTCCAGATTCTTATTAACTAGTTGGTAACCTTGTCTGTCAGGTAGGTCTGATGCTGTTGGCAACAAGGCTATTGAGCAGTGAGACTGAGCTTTCTGAAGCACTCAATCACTATGAAGCAACTGTTGAAAACGGTCTACTGTTTCAAGCGTCTCATATAATCAAAATAGGCAACAACTGTTGGCCAAATCCTTGGTATTGAACTTGTATGGATAATGAACAGTGGACAAAATACAGTAGACAGTACTGAAGATATCTTACTGCTGGATTATGATGACAGAGGAGACCGAAAACATAGTCGCCATGCACACTGACACGCACATCACATCATTATACACAAAAAAGCACTCAAACTCGACTAAGCCAGCTACACAAACAGGAAGCCTGTTCAGGAACTGGATGGTCAAGCCCTTGGGAAGCATGATTTGGGGAAACCTCCGCCTCTAAGAATAGTTCCAAGGAGAGCAAGGAGGGGACATACACTTTCCACAGAGAGAACTTATTAGTTTTGATCTTTTTTTTTTTATTATATGTTCAAACAAATAACAATAACCTCTATAAACAATTCTCAAATCACTGACATGCAGCGTTAGTTTGTGCTGTTGGCTTGCTTTCTAACCAGACCACCACTCAATATCAGTGTGTTGTTATATTAAATAGTTTTAAGGCTTTTACTTCACACTGACTTATTCAAACTTTTTAAAAGAGCCACTCTAATAGCATTACATAACATTTATTTTCATTACCATCAGCCTTCACAACACACAATGAATAACCTCAGATGATTCCAGCATGTGTGTATGTGTGTGTGTGTGTGTGAGTGAGGAGAGAGAGAGAGTGAAGGGGTGGGGCTTGTTGTTTTCTTAATTGGTTATATTTTGTGTTACACTGTATGAAAAATGCTTTTTATTGTTTTTATCACTTAGTGCTCTCTCCCTCTCTCTCTCTCTCCCTGTGAGTGTGTGTGTGTGAGAGAGAGAGAGACTGTCTGTGTGTGTATGTGTGTGTGTGTGTGTGTGTGTGTGTGTGTGTGTGTGTGTGTGTTAGTTGGGTACAATGTTGTGTTAAATTCCTCATCATCTGACATCTTTGCAGGTGACATTTCACACAAGTGTTTACCTCCCCCTCCATATCTCTCTATTTCACTCACTCACTCACTCACTCACTCACTCACTCACTGCGTATACAAACATCTTTCTATGATTTGCATTGAGTTATGCAAATGCCCTTGCATACATAAAGGATACCCCTTTTGTCAGAAAAAATATGACATTTTATATGAATTAGAAATAGTAATAATAAACTGCCAGAAATGTGAGAACTTACATTAGGTTAATTTAATACAACAAAAAAAAGTTACTACATTAATGGGAAAACAAGTCAAATATCATTTTGACATTTGCAAATTGCATGATGATTGTCCAACAACATCATCGTCCCTTGCACAACCCTATGTAGAGCTGTGCACAGAACATGGATTTACTCAGTCCCACTCACAAAAAACTACAACCGACTGTCTGTCATAGTAAGGCGACCGAGAACACTGTGAGAAATCCTGCCGCTTTGGTGGGCTGTCCAAAAATCCATGAAGTTTTTACCAGCCATCTCTCCCTGCCTGTCACACTGGGTACACATAGCTTCTGCTTGTTGTGGGACTATGCTCACTGGCCAATCATAATATGTAATCAACCCTGTTGTTATTTGAATCAATGGAGCTATATATATTGTTCAGTTATTTATTTGTCACAAAGTAATTAGCAATTGTAATATTTGCAGTGGGGCACCTTATACATGGCATCATTTAACAGTATTTAATAAATACTTTAAGAACCTCAGCTACCACCACAAATAGAATCGAATTCAGTGGGAAACACTGATGCATAACAATGAACACAGTTCACTACACTGAAAATCAATTAGTTTATTTCATATGCCATATTATCAAATAAATTAATGTCAATAAAATATTCTTATTAATGTGGCTTTCACAGCAGAAGTGACTTCTCACCTGCAATATAATCCACTTTTTCTTACTTTATCAGTATGCTCAGTATGTCCAAACACTAATATTTTTACCAACCGGCTGCTAAATTATAAATTATGAATGCTTTTGTCTCAGTCACTATTCACCACCATGATAAGTGTGTGGCCAGGTTCTGTTGTAAGGGACCCCTGGATTTGTTACTGCTGTTGGTTAAAAACTGCACCTGAACATCAGTACTTTGTTCATGCTGGGAATGAGGAGAGTTTGTCCAAACCTTCCTGAGTCCTAACCCAGACCCTCTCTTATACAAAACACAAACCATTGAAGGAACATTTATACACTGAAATACAGCCTGTACATTTAAATGTAAGCTTGTCTACCCAAATTGGACTTCCTTTACTTATTTAAACACAGGCTTACTTAGGCTACATGCTCACTGAGCAGAATTAAATGTTCTGCACATTCTACATTAAATGTGATGATCCCGAACACTCTGCAAAATTGTGCTCTTTCAAAGCATGGGCTTGTTGTGCTGTCTTAAATATAGCTCATCATAAACATGGGCCAGCAGCTGAATTAATTCACTAATTTTTTTGTTGAGTACTAAAATGATTTAGTAATTGTGCTCTTCTGACATTTAGACTACAGCAGAGTGAGCTGAACTGAGTGACACGATGCAAAAAGACACACATCCAGCCTGGATACACAGATCAGATAATACAAACTGACAGATACTTTGTGTGACAACACACACTCACACACAAAGCGCAGACAAGCTGGATAACTAAAAAACACACTCTGCCAGCAAACAAACATGCTACATGCAGTGTGTGTTGAAGCAGTGTGATCCTTGATGCATATCTAAACAGATGATGTAAAAGCACAACCACACACACACCCATGTCTGAATACTGTACACAAACAAGGCTTATATAAAGTTAAATGAATCTCAGTGCGTAGTGAGGGCATCAGCCTCATCTCCCTTCCCCTCTGCTAGTTAACAGGCCCCCTCAGTGCTACATTACATAATACCTAAAGGAGGCACAGAGACATAACATAACA